AGAAAATTATTAGTAAAATATTTTAACGAAAAGACAAGATGTTGAGGCAATAAAAACAAGAAATTTATCCTAAAGAAGTTCCTAATATTGGGAGCAAATTTTTATTAGGACTAATGTTCATTAATTTCTACAATTTCAGTAAATGATTATATGCATGCAAGTAAATATGCTTCATATTAAGCATGACACGATAACATCAGCAAGTCTAATGTATTTTAATAAAGCACCTATTTAAAAGAATTTAAGGTATCTTTAATTAACTAAATTCTTAAGATTATACGATAATAATATAATTTCCGAACATTAATGCTAAGAAATTCTAAATGTTAATGATAACGAGAATAAATTAAAACAAATCAATGAAAAGCCATGTATTGTGAGATAGGTGGGTAGACTATGATGACCAACGCACGAAGAAGTAAAAATTCTAACAAGATGAGTCTCCATAAGGAAAAAAATTCTCAACTGTCAATCCTAAAAAATTGATACTATAAGGTTCAACTTTAAGGTCGATGGTTCATTGATAATTGCTACGTTGGATTATCCAAACTTAATCAATAATTTTTTAGGATCGACGAGCCAAATGACAACCAATGCTATAAATGTGTTTGCATTATATGACATTATTAAAGAACTAATGAGTAATGATAAAAATAAAAATGAAAATGGAGTGCACTTCATGATTTAAAACTAGATAGATGCATTTAATATTATTATAAATAGTCATTTTTTTCTTTTTCTTTTTTTGCTGTAAATTATGCTTTTCGCTTGCTTAAAGGTCAACGCAAGTTTTCTTTGAAATTTATCACTACATTAAGCTATGTCTACAATAAAAAATACTCATATTAGTTCAAAAGACCAACATACATCATTGTTCGTTTTTTACATGTTTGAACAATTATTGTAATTATTTATTTCAATGAGTAATTAACCCATCAGATATCATGATAATTACTTTTAAGAGAGGAAAAGAAGTCGACTGTAGACAAATGATCTTTATCATGTACCCTAATATTATAGACGAATGTACAAATTTAGTAGGTAATCTAGAAAAGATGTATGTGATGTAAATATATTAGCCGAGTGTACAAATTTAGTAAAGAAAAGATGCATGTGATGTAAATATATTAAATACTTTTAACATGTATAAATTTTCTATAAAAATATTAGAAATTTTATTGTTTATTTGAAGATTTAAATAACACATGCTTCCATATATTTGTAAGATGAGATATTTTTGTGATGATCTAACCGGATTTATTTTTCGCTCACTTGATCCTCAGTTGAAAGAAAAGTCAAAAATATTTGTGGGAAATGTGTCTGCCAAGATTGTCTGTCTGCCTCTATTACACTTCATAGTTGACTAGGGGCTCAAAATAGGACATGACACAAAAACTCCACAACAATTAATCGTCAGAGCTTATATACCTTATCGACAGTATTCTAGGATGATGTGATTGTAAATACAACCATTGGAAGAAGGGTGGTGGCTGTTCAGGTATGCGGGACTATTATAATTCTTTATTTAGGGCATCAACAAGGCATTTAGGAAAACATTCGAGCAAGTTCTAATCAACAGCAATAATTCTAAAGAAATATAAGGCCATCATCAGCAATAGAAGGTTTTATTGGCTTTGGCTATGAGGGGAGGTAGATTGCAGTTTCAGTGAATGAGAAATGTATTGAAAGAATGTGAAAACAATCAAGTTCCGGCTTTTCCTATACCATAGGTTCTTTGTTTTTGTATTACCTTTTCTGCTTTTTTCTGCATTGGAAACATCTAATCTACTGTTTTCTTTCTTGATTTGTTTCTTAGGCGGCTGGAATTTTCATCAAACCAAAGCTTCACAAACACTAGTTGAAGGTTAGGAAACTCTTCCGGAAGATTAGTAACAGAAAGGGGTCTAATGGAAACACCACAATATATGGATGGATCTACTGGTAATTAGATTTTAGACTAGAATCAACAAGAAAAATAGGGAAATAGATTCAAGAAAAGTAAAATTGTTAGAAAGTTAAAATTAGATGATATCTTCAAATACATTTTTATGCATAATTTCCATTATGGTTAATTGTTAGACCGGTCCCTCGGACCAGCTCACATAACAGAAGCAGACGTAGAAGAGCCACACGTGCCGTTCAGTTGCCAGCAGAAATTGGGAAAGTTCTTTTAGGGAGTTAGGAGGGAAATTTCAAAGTAGGGGCAGTTTAGAGATTTCCTTTTAAATTTTATGTATTAAGTAGTATGTTTTGCTAGCGTTAGGAGATCTAGAATTTGGCTGAAATTTGAGATTTCTCTTAGGTTTTGGGCTCGGGCGGCGTCTAGAGAATTGGGAGATAGATTCTCCTCTCGAATAGATGATCAATTGTATCTTGGTATTTTATGTTTCCCTTTCATCAAATAATACAAATTATCTACTATTTTCCTAGTTTGTGTGGATTTTTGTGAAAAATTCTTGCTGTTTTTCAAAGATTAAAAGGAATTACTAGAGATCTACAAGTGTTTCATATCAATTTGGTATCAAAGTGGTTTCCGGACAGTTTTTGGGCTCTTTTTTGAGAATTCCTACAGCAGTTTTTTTCTTTTTTCAGGCCGTGATTTTTTTTTTGTTTTTGTGGTGGAAATCTGGATTTTCGAGCCTAACAAAGATCCGGGGACTTATTGGGGGAAGAAAGGTAGAAGTATTAGAAGGGGAGATCAAACAAACAAAATCTAAAATTTCATATCTCAAAACACAAGTTTCATATCTAAAAAAGGATATTTCAGTCATACTTGATAAGATCGATTCAAATTTTTTCATCCTGGAGGAGATGTTGAAGAAAGTGCTCGAGGGATGTCGGAGGTGAGGGAAGACGCCGACAGCCTGAAAAATGAGGAAACCCCTAAGCCAATCAGGAGAAGGGAAGATCAAGAGGTGGAGATTTTGGAGGGAAAACAAAAAATGCCTCCCCTAGGCTCTATTTCTAGGGAGGAGTCGGGTAAAGGATATATGGGGAGGCGTGAAGGGGTTTAACATGAGTGGAAGGGTGTTAAATTTGAAAGGAGATAAGTTGAATTTGAAGGGGAATGCTTGATTATAATCGAAGAGGTGTCTATTTTGAAAAGAGATGAGCGAAATATGATCGTAGGGATGCTGAATTTGAAGGGAGATGGTGGGCTTGCGATAAAAGGTTTGGGTATGAGCGTAGAAGGGATGACTGGGACACTTGGGGAGAACTATCTCCTTGGGGAATGAGAAATTATGGCGGGAACAGAGGGAACAGGGGCAATCCGACGGTGAGAAAACTGAAGATGCCAATCTTTGAGGGTGAGGATGTGCACGGGTGGATCTATAAGGTTTAAAGGTATTTTGCCATCAATGGTTTGATTGAGGATGAGAGAATGACAACAGCGGGCCTATGTTTGGAAGAGAAGGTTTTGGCTTGGTACCAATGGAGGGAGATGCGACGACCCATACGGAGTTGAAGAGAGTTCAAGGATTGTTTGGTAGAATGTTTCAAAACCGAAAGGGAAGCAGACTTCTACAAGCAGTTCTTCGCCTTGACACGAAATGGTTCAGTGATAGAGTATCCGGAAAGGTTCGAGTACCTCGCTAGTCAATTAGATCGTCTTTCTGAGACGGTGCTAGAGGAGAAATTAATGAAGGGATTGACGCCAGAGATCCGAGCAGTGGTTAGATTAATGAGGTCTTGTGACCTGGGAGAGGCTATGGAGCTAGCTCAATTGGTGGAGTATCAGCGACACATGGAGAGAGAGACAGGAGATAACAGCTCAGGAGGCTTATACAGGATGACCAAAACCTGTTTGACACCCAAGGAGCCGACATCGAGTACTCTTCGGGAAACCCCAAAAGGAGGAGGTAGGTGGAAGACCCGTAAATAACTTCAAGAAGCTCATAGAAATGGAGTTACAAGAGAAGAGGGAAAAGGGGCTCTGTTTCAGATGTGATGAGAAGTATACACCGGGACACAGATGCAAGGACCGAACTCTTTAGGTTCTCACCGTTTGTAATGATGAGGAAGCCTTCAGTTGGCAGCAGAAATTGGGAAAGTTTTTTTAGGGAGTTAGAAGGGAAATTTCAAAATAGGGGAAGTTTAGAGATTGCCTTTTGAATTTTATGTATTAAGTAGTATGTTTTGCTAGGGTTAGGGGATCTGGAATTTGGTTGAAATTTGAGATCTCTCTTAGGCTTTGGGCTATAGCGGTGTCTAGAGAAGTGGGAGAGATAGATCCTCCTCGAATAGAGGATCAATTGTATCTTGGTATTTTCCGTTTCCGTTTCATCAAATAATACCAAGTATCTATTGTTTTTCTAGTTTGTGTGGATTTTTGTGGATAATTCTCATTGTTTTCCAAAGATTGATAGGTTACTTGAGATTTACAAGTGTTTCCTATCATTAACAAAATAAACTTTAGGATGAATAAGTTCTTGAACTGTTATTTATAATCAAATTATCTTCTACATTTGTTTTTTATTTAGGAGATTGAAATCAACAAGCCTTTCTTAATTTCTTCATGGAAATTTACTTTTGTGAATTCATTTGCATAGTGTTTCAAATATTTATTCAGTGTCTATTAAATTAGATATTAGTGACTACTTTACCACGGAAAACTTGAATCCATAAAACACTGCTGGAAAACACAGGCTATCAAATTCTATTTTTGTTTTGCAATATCAACATGGAAAACAAACACTGTTCCAACTCTATGGCTATATAATTAGGTAATTCATAGTAAGGACAAAGAACTGTGGAACTCTTATCTATTCTTAAACATTATAATAAATCCAAACAAACAACACACTAGCTCAACTGTTGAATTCTCAAACATGCTTGTCAATATAAGTTCACTACATAAGTCGGTAAGCCTCTAAATATAGCAACCAGTTTCTCTATGCAGCAGTTTGGTCGTTTTCAATAACTTGCTAGAATAAGAAGGCGTTTAAATTGAAGGCAAAAAAATTAACAATGACAAAACTCAGAGAAGTTTAAAATATTACCCAAAAGTTTATAATATGACCTATACAATATCGAAGTTCCATCGACAAACATCACACGATTGTTTAAAGAATCAGGTTTAATGGTCTGGTTCCCCTGTTTAGCAAAATTAGGGGGTATGTTTTTCAATGACTTTTTTTCATCCTCAGAAAGCGCACGTGAGCAGCCCAGTAAAGGTGTTGCCTTGACAAGCCTTGATGAACCTGAATCCACAACAATAGGCCTCTGACAATAATCCTGATGGGATAGAAAATAATTACTAGCATTGAACGGTACATCAAAAGATAATACAAACTTTTTTTTTAATTCATGGACGCATACTACAACCAAGTATTTGATTGTTTCATAACATAATAAAATCATAGTTCATCCAACAAACCACATCTACCAGAAATAACCATTATGCTATGAACTTTCTTCAGGGAAAGATATAACAAGGCAGGTATAATCCCAAGTAGCAATTAAGTTCGGTGATCGAGAACCCGCTCTATGCTGGATGAAGAAATCAATAAAAGACAAAGACAAAAGAATGAACATCTCCTAGCTCTGCAAATGTAGATCTATTGAAAAGTATTTTTAACAATTTTATGATGTACACAGTGAAGTTGAATCATTTAAAAAATTACAAGGGCCACATTCACCAAAAATAAAGTATTTCTTCATAAAGATGCCTTTTATCCCGATTGTTCTAGTGATTAATAAATAGAAAAAGAGTCAATCAAAGGGCAAAGGTTTGGCCCAAGCTACACAAGGGAACAATGGAACATTCATTCATCATGTTACCCTTCTCTTTCAAACAGATAAACAAATAGATGACTAACAAAAAAGTATTAAAGTATTCATTCAAGAAATAAAAGCCAATGAACCTTCAACTAGCAAGTAGTGACTCATTTGGTTACTTGAATTTAAAAAACATGTTTTAAGAAGTGATGAAATTTATTAAATTCATTATTTGTTGAGACATAATTAGAAACCAATATTTCTTTCAAACACTTCAAACATTCTAAAACTTCCTTAAAAGTGATTATTTATTTTTAAACTAAAGATAAATGAAAACAAAATCAATATTTTTAAAACAAGTTTTCTATATCAAGCAAACAAACGAGCAATAGGGAGAATGTCCCAGCTATTTAGGAAATCAAAGGCCCAAGAACCCATGTGTATTTAACCTTCAAGGCGCCCTACCATAATTTATGTGACTAAGGGTCTTTTTGGGGAGCTTTCTCACTACTTTCCTTTTCAAACTGCAACAACAATTCTATTTGGCTACTATTTTCGTATTGATTTATCAATGCTTATAAAAAAATTTATGATGTAATGTTGCATTTTACAACAAGATTTGTTAATGTGTGATAGTTATAAGAGAAAATGATGTCAGGTTTTTTCAAAAATATCTACATTTATAATATCCGTAGCAGCTTCCAAAAAAATTATTTCTTCACAACAAATTCGCAACCACCTTTTACACCCTTATAATCACTGAAAAACAGGGCCGTAATAATGTAAATAATATCACACAAGTTAACAATGAGAACATCACTAGACACCATACCCTGATCGATGCATGCCAAGAGGAATTCATGGATAGACCAGTTGAGTTATACCAATAGCGGACCTTTGATCCCCTGAGCCTTAACTTTCTTCCCGCCCCTCCGCTTCCCACGAAAAAGTCTCTCAGTCCATAAACACCTCTCCAAAATGGCTGTATGCTATGATGCAACAAACAATGGCACGCCATGGCCTTCACTTCTTTCTGAACTCTTATAACAGCGGACACGGCATATACACAGCATCTGCGTCTGCGTTAAGAAACCAATCATAATCATAGTCTTTGATACTAAATTGCGAATCCAGCGTAAGATAAAACACAAATAAATAATAGTTTCCGTTATTTTAGGGCTTGTTCCACTCCAAAATCTTAGACTAATTGAGAAAAACGAAAATACTAGAAGCTCGAAAAAAAACATGAGCAGAAAATAGAAGATATTCCAGTACCGGGATACAATCCGAAGAAAAAGTCGAGCAAGATGAGCGGCTTAACCACTCAAACAGAGACGAAGAGCTTCTACTAGCGAGGCATCTACCAATCTAACAGAGAAGAAACACTAGGGCATTGTAACTTGAATGCCGTCCGACAAAAGCTTCAACCGAACGCCATATATCGCGCCTAATTCCGGGAAGCTCACAGAGAACCTAATTTTAAAAATAGTTTTGAAATAATAATGTTTAAAAATAATTATAGAATAAAATTAATTTAAAATCACAACACCTCTGAAATTTAACACAATTCATTATAATAATAATAATAATAATAGTACTAATAATAGTAATAGCAATAAACTAGTTTAAAATAATAATGATATTGATAATAAAGCTAATTAAAAATAATAACAAATTGATAATACAAAAATAATAATTTAAAAAAAAAGTAAGTTAATAGTTAGAAAAAAGATGATAGTGATTATGATAAATAATTATAATTAAATAATATTATAATGATAATTATATCAAAATAATAATTTAAATAATAGTAAAAATAGGTATTTTCACTGTTTTAACAATAATTAAATAAATACAAAATATTTTTAATTTAAAATAATTTTAAAATAACGGGGACAAAAATACGATCGATTCGAGGTATTATACGCGAAAAACGGATCAAAAATGAATTTTTTATGAATTTTTGAAGTTAAAATAGCTTAAAATTGATTAAATCAAATAAATAATCCCAGAAATTCCTTGGTGCGACAAGTGGCGGAACTGGATTGGTCCCGCAATCATTGCCACTTATCCACGTAGGCAAGGATTGGGATCCGCTGTTCGGCCCAAACACAGAACGGCAAAATTACAGCCGTTGATCTAAAGATCAACGGCTGCGATTTCATGCAGTTCAAAGAACGAACCGAAACCCTAGAATAGAAAAACGCCTCGTTCTCTCAAAATACTCAATGGATTCTTACGAAATTTTAAACATATGATCTAGGCATGTACAGAAATCATGGGGGATGTTTGGATCAACTTATAAAGTGCTTTTCAAAAAGCTATTTAACCATAAGCATTGTGACCTATTCTAAGAGATTTTGAGAGATCTAACCGTCCGATTTTTGCGTTCTTGGGCTCGTTGGATTCGTTGAAACTGCAGTAATATTTCTCCAGTTGACGTCGAACCCTGGTTCTCCTTGGATCGAGCGAAAATCAGCCCGGAAGGGACGTGGGGCTTGGTTTCGCCGGAGTTCTCGCCGCCGGCGAATCGAGCTCGTCGGATCTTTGTTGGGGAAGATGGGAAAACTCTCCAAGAGTGCTCACACGAAATATTAGAGGGTTTGGGAGCTTGGAGAGAGAACAAGATCAAAAAGATCCTTTCCAAAACCTATTTTTTGGCTATTTAAGGCTCCTCCTCTATCTTAAACGGCCTAGATTCGATCATGATATAATTTGGAGGGAAATATCAGTGATTAGGTCTTGGATTTGAATTCCAAAACGTTTGGAATTGATTAAGACATTAAATGAGGCTTTAATGGGCTCTAAATAGGTGATTTTCACCTATTTAAGACTTGGTTTGACCAAGTCAACAATTGACTTGGTCAAACCAGTCAAGGGAGTCAAGGGGGTGGGGCTCGAGCTCAAGAAATCATGAAAATAAATTTAAAATTGATTTTAGGCCTAAAAGGTCCAAATTGGTCAACCGGGTTGACCCAAAGTCTAAGCTCGGGCTCGACAGACTCGACTCGACCCACTGAACCCAACGGGGAGGGCCATAGGGTCTGGCTTGGTCAATTTGACCAAGTCAACTGTTCGGGCCCAAATCTGGGCAAAGTCGAGGTCAACACCCGGCGAGGCATAGAATCCAACTATTTTCGCTTCCTCATGAAGCAAGCAAAGAACCCAACTCCTTTTGCTTCTTACTGAAGCAGGTAGATAACATCATCGCTGAAGTAGACCTCTCTAGAACCTCCAAGGAACCTGGAACGACGATTAGATAAGATGACACGAATCCTTGCTTTGGAGCAACCTTTGTGAAATCCTCACAATCTCCTCTCTCTCTCTCTCTCTCTCTCTCTCTCTCTCTCTCTCTCTCTCTCTCTCTCTCCCTCAATTTTAGGCTCTCTCAGCCTCTCAGGTTAGGACAGTAGCAAAAGATCTCATCTTGAATAAATAAGATATCTTATATAGAAGGGCTTCAAAATTGTCCTAAATTGCAATTAATCGAAAAATATCATCTAGGACGATCGACGGATCGTCCTGTACGATCGGTACAAATTTAGCTCATTAAGCTAGGACGATCTGGGAAGGCAGGATGATTATAAGGTATGTTTGTTATGGGACATCATCTTGTACGATTAGTTCATGACGTCGAATATCATTTAGACCATCGCTCTATTCGGCCAGACTTTACCTGTATGGACGATGAAAAAATAATTGATCGTCCAAGATGATTTCACAGTCATCCTATATGATTAGTTCAAGATGTTGAAAATCATCCAGACCATCACTCTGTTCGGCCAGACTTTAGTGGTTTGGACGATGAAAAAATAATTGATCGGCCAGGATGATTTTCGGATCGTCCCGTATGATTAGCTCAAATGAATGCACATCATCCAGAACACCGTTTCAGCCATCCAGGAAGAAACTAAGATTGGTATAATTGATCGTCCCGAATGATCTTGTGATCGTCTAGGACGATATGATCGATCAATCAAAACTTAATTGCTTTCCTTAATCATCAGACTAATTTAGGCATAATTGTAATCCATCGTCCAGGATATCAGATGATGTCCAAAAATAATAACTTGCCTAAAAGAGTTGGCAGGTGATTCTTTTTTATTTGAGCATATCGTCAAAGACGATGTGAATATCGTCCAAGGTGATGTGAATATCATCCAGAATGATGTGCTTAATTTCGACTGCCTTAACTAGGTTGTCTTAATTATGGTTTATATTTTTAACTGATTGTTCATGATGATTTTGAATCGTCCCCGACGATATGATCAAAAATAAAAAAACTCTAGAATAGATTAAAAAAAAATTTCCCTTAAGTGTGTGTGTGCAAAATTACTTAGCATCAGGACCCACTTTGTTACATTTGACTCAAGAAAAGGTAAAGACACTTGATATACACTTACAGACAATCCTAATTAACCCAATCTTAAGCTAGCTTGATTTGCAATTTAATCTTGTGGACTTGAAATATTAGTAGGCAGGGTAATCGTACATAAACAAAAGTGTCAGAAATATTTGCTATCATAAAAAATATAATTCTTGAAACTATATTCACTACATTATTATTATAAATATTGTTAATATTAATATTATAGTTATTATTGTTATAGAAAATAAGAAAGAAAGAAGAGAAAAGAGAGAAAAAAATATAAAAATAAATAGCAAAAGCCAAAAAAAGGAAGAAAAGAGAAAAAAAATATAAGGAATTTTTTTGTGCATAACCTCGATTCTTGTGCCACCGCCTTCATCGTTTGTCGCTTAGGTATAATGCCTTCACTAAACTCAAAACTCAAAAATCCCACTTTCAGCTCGTGGCACACCAGGGGACCATCCTGCTCGCTGTTATAGCATGGTGGGAGGGAACCAGGGGGACCATCCTGCTCGCTCTTAAAAAAATAAAATTAAGCATTTTTTAACATGTACCTCTAAGTCCCCTACATGCTCTTGTTATGTTATGGGATTAAAAATCACAGCCGCAGTGTCGCCCGACACCTTCCCTACGCGCTCTCATAGCGTGCTAGGGAAGGCCCAACTATTGAAATTTCACCTAAACAGGGGAGAAGTAAGGAGGCTGACAAAATTCTCAGTGAACAGAAGACCTGAATTGAACCAAATGACAGAGGGCTTGACTTGGACCATAGGAAACAAGACATAATGAGTAAAATGAAAATTTAATGTAATGATGAAGATCAAACTTAAATATGCAAGTAAGAAAATTATGGTCAACAAAATTACAAATAAAATCCACTTACAAGTAACAATCAATTGAATTAAGAGGGATACTTGTTCTGAATACAAGTAATTCACTTCAATTATGCTCATAAATAAATAAATATAGTTAAATGGGTAGCACATTTGTGAGTAAGACATAAATAACTTGTGATGGCAATGCCTTGTAGTCAATATCAAAGTACAAGCAAATATATTTGACATTGCAAACAATAAAATTGAGAAAAATGTATAATTTAATTGCAAGCAGATGTAAAGTCCTTAAATGACAATGTAAGTTGCATATGAATGATGATAGTTGATGTGTGATGTTTACACAAGTCTTGCAAGAAAATATTGTAATTTCTACAAGCAACAACAACAGATACATTACAAGGATGGTCGGTCCTATGTGAACACAAATATGCACACAATATAACATCTACAAGTAAATGCAACATATTTGTAACACATTTAAACACCCCTAAAGCTATTGTAGCAAGAGGCAGTGAATGTTACAACACCTTTACAGTCAATAGACATTCAATGTCAAGCAAATATATTGATGGCGTGCAGATAAATGCAGGCAATTTGTGATAAAAGTAGAAACTTATGAGCCATTACAGAAGGCTCATCATGTGCGAAACTTGCTATCTACTACATAATGTACAAGATTCATAGTGAATGCAAAAGCCTATAAGCAGCGTTATAAGATCTAAATTCCCTGCAACATTCCTGAATGTGATGGTAGAAGGCCTATAATGTATACAACAATATTGTCTACAAGCAATGACAATGGATACATTGTACATATGATGAATCACTTACAAGTTAAGCTAATGATTTTTGGATATCGACTGATGACTCATAAACATATTCAACAAATTTTGCAGTGTATGACATATCGCATGCAAGAAGTAACGGGCAACCCGTAGCACAACAGTACAACCCACCTGCAAGCAACATACATTGAATGAAGTTCATATGCATGCAACAACAAACGACTTGTGAATGTCCGCTGACGGCACACTACCCACAAACAAATTTAATAAAATTTGCCAATGTTACATTTCGCCTATAAGCAAAAGTAGGGTTTCAATACTAAAAATTTGGGGCCACTGAAGCATAATGTCACGCCACATAATCCGTAATATTCATACAAGCAGACATAAGGCGTTTACAAATTCCTAAATGAAACCCCGTAATGCACATATGTGATGTCTGAGAATGTTGTGCAGGTCAAGAATGAACTTAAGTAATGGCTCGAACAATCAAACTTATATACGGTCACTACATCGACCAAGATATTTGTTTTAATACATTCGTATTAGGCCTTCAAGATTTATAATAAAGAAAATTTACTTTCAGAGGAATAAAGCTTACAACGAACACGATCCTCTGTTAGCCAGTAGACAGAGCTGGTAAGGTTCCAACAAATAAAATGAAATTGTCCATAAGTATCCTGATGATGACCATGTTGACAAAAAATGTCCATCAGAGGGGCCCTAAATATTTGAAAATGCCTCCCAAATTTTTATGAAAATCCAAAATTCTAAAAAATAACCAAGAATCAAAATATTTAAAATGAAATAAATCATCAAATGCTTAAGGCAAAGCTCATCAATCCTTCGCAATAATTTGTCGATGTGAACAAATATGAAAATCACTTCAGCTCAAAAAGTGCAAATGTCTAGTCAAGAATATCTCTATAATTTATTCTCAATCAATCTGTTCCCAGTAAGGATGTGGCATGTGTCATCTAATCAGTGATTTCGCCACCAAATGGCATAATCAAATTACGGTCATGATAAAAGCTCGTATATTCCCCAACGACGTTAAATCATTGAACAATGAATCAATAGGATATGACCGATAGGGTACAAGGAGCTCTATTAGCTAATTTGGTTTCAAATTTGTCCCCTTAGATAAATATTCATCCTATATCTACAATGTACCATTGGACGAAGCAACACATGACTATCAACAAGGATACTTCTCTCAAGTTGGGTCAACTACCTCCTCTAACTAAGTAGACCGGAGACCCTAATGACCCTAAACGATGAAACCATGGGATCTTTATCAGATTTATCATCATCTCCCACCATCCGCTTTAAGTATAAGGTGATAATTTTTCAACTTTAAATGTTAAGATTTCAAATACCAAATCACATTGTTACTATAAGCCACATGTTATGTATATATTTAATGACTAGCCTTAATCGAAAGTTCTCTCTTGTTTTCGGGAGAGCTAATTAACTATAGAGTTTTTCGACTCTATGAAACTTGAACTTATATCATAAAGTCCTCAAAAAATGAGGGTGATATCTCTTGATAATGTCTTATTCAAAACCCAATATGCTATCTAAAAATTTGCCTGAAAAACTTAAACATTAAAAACCTCCTCAACAACTCGAAGAAAAAAAGGAGCAGTGGAGAGGCTAGATTTCCACACAAATATCACACAAAACATCAAAGTTATATTCCTCAAGTCTAGGCTTAAGAAATAAAATATTGTTGATTAAGTAATAAAATGATAGTTTTTGAGCATATAAGATAATTTTTATCAACGAAAAAAATGATTTTTTAAGTAAGCTTTTAGTTATGATCTTTCTTTTTTAAATGATTCAATGTATCATTAAACAACATAATATAAATTTGATTCATAAAATAATAATAATACTATTTTACAATTATTTGAACATTAAATTTTATTTCGTTAAACATGAAGTTTACATTAACTTAATATTATCATTTTTTAAGTTATGTTCAACCCCTCACTTGCTTAAAACCCTAATAAAGAAATTATAAAAAAAAAACCCCTAACATTAACAATCCAAAGCAAAGTAAAACATTCACTTTCGGTACTCATCCATTATGAATATGATTGCAAAAAAATGCATAATACCATAGAGCTTCTCACAACTTCGCTTCTCTGCCCATAAATTCAGAACAAATTTAAAAAATAAAAAACAAAATCTGCAGCCATCTGAAAAAGAACTTACGTATCAAACCATATTCATTCATCTCATATTTACAGCCAGTCACCGAAAAAAAACAGAAGTCTAGCTCAGGAAGAGGCAAAATGATTGACTGCTAAGTGCTAATAATGCTGAATATTATTAATATATTTCAAAGTTGAGGGTTGGGCCATTCTTGCTCCTCCAACTACTACAAAACGAGCCGTCAACTTCTAGTTTCTTTGCAAACTGTAGCAAACAACAAAGAAGATGACTTACTCCCAGGATTTCAGGGGGAATAGAATTTCCATACATAATTGGGGCTCCAACCAAACCAATTCTCCAAAAAACTTTGGTCTGAAAAATTAATCAATCAGCTGCTGACCGCTGAAAGCAAGCTTCCACCACTTTTGGTTGGAACCACTACCTCCCAACCCGGTCCTTTCAAAGGAAGAGAAGGAGCACTCTCTTCACTGCCATCTGTACCTCTTCCTTGAATCAAATCACTGCGGTCCATAAGTCGAAGCAGATCTTCATCGCTAATGTCGGTCTGATAGAGTTTGTCTTCGGGATCCTCTTCATTGCGAAGCAAGGCTAGCAGCTCAGCTTCCTGAAAATTATATAGTTCAGCAGTTGATGAGATCCAATGAAGGTCTAACTAAGATGCAACACGAATATTTTTAAGTTTTTATGTGAAAAGAACGCAGTATCAGTTATGTTGAGCAAACTTTAGAAGAAACAAAAATACATCTAATGCGTTGGCTCTCGCCCGGTCCTGATGGAAATCTCCTTTACCAATTACCACATGCTCCAGCTTCAACTTTCCAAAAGCTCTTTTTATTATTTTTCCCTGTAAACAAAAGGATCATAGGATAGTCCAACAAATCAAAAGATGATCAATTTCAGGAAAAGTTCATCCACTTACCTCTACAGAATGTGAAGTAGCCAATCTGTAAACATGAACGGGTCTAGTTTGTCCAATGCGGTGGCATCTGTCCATTGCCTGCAAATCCATCTGAGGATTCTGCATGCCATACAAACCAAAAGAATAAAAAATTTAAGTGCTAAGAATCATAGGAGATTTATACAAGTAAATGAATATTTCGGCAAAGCAGAATGGATATTTACCCAATCACTGTCATATATAATACACGTATCAGCAGCTGTGAGATTAATCCCCAAACCACCCGCCCTAGTGCTGAGAAGGAATATATTAACATTGCTCTTTAAGTTGTTAAATTCTTCTATCTGTTTTGGAAGGAAGAGCAAAGAAAAATAAGATAAAAGTACAAGTCAGCCTTAATTAGAAGGATGAATAATATAATGAGCAAGGAAATGAAATGTCTTATAATCATTATACTAATAATAATAACAAAAGTTTTCTCATACCAAGATGCAAGACTAGTTCATTTTAATGCATTCATGATATGCCATTCCAAATGTATCTCTGAACATATCAGCCAAATTTCTCCATGTGAACATCTATCCATTACCTTAGCACGTTTGATTTCAATTTTAGTTTGGGGAACTCTGTCATAAAATGATAATCCATATCAGACATTTGACTCAATAGGATGTCTTGAAGGACTATCCATTATTCTGGGGAGATTAAACCATAAAATTGAGGGCTTTCTTTTAAATCCACGGGGTAACAATGTTTAGTTTGTATTTTAGAGATTGATTATAGCTCCTTAGATTCAATCCATATATGATTCTTTAATAAAAGTCTATATTTTATATTTGGCATGATCCTTGAGAATTAACAATGATAATTTCATGCAAGTAAATATAAGAATCTATGATGAATTTAAAAAATTTGCTTTTAATGTGGAAACAATCCTTCTCTTCACAAGATTCAATTCCTTTATGGATAATGACGATTAAAAATTTCTTGTCAAGATCTTTTATCATTACTACACAAATCTCTCTATCAATGCTCTATATCGATACACTTCATTAATGCTCCCAATTAAAACCTATGTCGATGCTCAAAATCATTGCTCTTTATCAACACTCTCCAATAATAACTCTATCAATTCTCTTTCTTCGTCACTCTACATTGATACTTTCATTGATGCTCTCTATGAATATCTAAGTTAATGGATCTTATATGTAGCTTGTTTAACTAAATCTTACTGCCAACTTCTTGCCTATGATTCAGATCATTCTCACTTTAATGAATCAATAATCATGCAAAGCTCATAATTTATGAGCAACAAAACTTTTGATTGCTTTGTCTATAATCGTTGCTACTTCGATGCTCAAGTTTACAGGAATACACTATGATATCTAAATTATCAAGAGCATTCTTGTTTATTGCTCTCTCTTACCTAAATATGTATGCATATATATTTGTACTAAGAAAACAATTTCAATAAAATATAGTCGTTTAAAATTTCATATCCCTATAATGATGGCAATCATTTTCATTTTATGGAGTTTACTTATTTAACCACCAACACAAGATTTGGAAGCAATCGATTTACCACAAAAGTTAAATTGAAAAAATGCATGTTATGTAGCTGAATCCTTAATGATAAGACTTTTTTACAATTTTTTTTTCAATATAATTCAAGCTTTATTTGGATTCTATAAATTTAAGTGAATGAAAATGAAATAGGATTTAAAATCTTAAATCAATGCTCATTGGTTCACAAATAACCATAAGTTATCTGCAAAACACCTCATGTTCTTCAATTTTCTACCAATCAAAATATACTCTTAAAGCATCTTTGTGATCATCACTATATCTTAAGTTAAATATTAATGATTAAAAATAAACTATCAATGAATCTATATTATATTTCATTTTATTTATTAAACATAATTATATCAATTTATGTTAAACATATTGTTCAAAATAAGCATATACCTGAAAAGATTGAAGTAGCTCATGTGGAAGATAAGATTAGAGATAGTTGCCTTAGATGGTTTGTTCACATAAATGGTGGCCTTCCAATGACCCGGTTAGAAAAGTAGATGTATTAAATTTGGCTTATGTTAAAAAGGTAGAGGCAGATCAAAAAAAACTTGGTCATGAAATATTAGAAATGACCTTTTTTATAAGATTTAAATGAAAATACGACTCTTAACATGATACAATAGAGAAATGGAATTCATGTCGCCGACCCCACATAGTGGGATAAAAGCTTGATGTTGCTATTTTTGTTGTAATATATTATACATATTATTATAAATAACATCTAGGACAATGCAATTCAAATAGTCAATGATAAATTAAAGAAATCTTGCCTTTAGGCAATCCCTATAAAGAACACATCTTTTTCTTGTAGTCATAAGGTTCTTCCTGGTCTTTTTCTTTACCTCTGGTCTTCCTTATTAAAGGCTCACATTCATCAATTATAAAATCTCCAACTCTTATACCCATCATCACCTTGATTCTTCCTTTACACTAAATTCTTCTATTCTGATCAATCAAACATCAAAGGTTCATCATAAACTTGGCTTCCACTACCCCTCTTATCATCAAAGCCTAAAAAAAGCATGAGCTCTTAAAGAGATAATTAAGGTTGCCAGTTCTTCATATACAAGAATAATCAATGCAATTATCCTACTAAACAATCTGTAAGTACTGGAATAGATGCATACTGTCAAAAGTCGCACACAAGCTTGCAGATAAAGAAATAAATAGCACTGAAAACAACTAACCTGTCTCTTTCGTTCATCCAATTTAACTCTACCATCAATCCTACAAACCTCCATGCCTTTTTCACTCAAATAATATTCAAGCAGATCCACAACTCTAGTAAACTGAGAGAAAATTAGAACCTGAAAAAAAAATGAAGGCAAGTTACAGAAACAAAAAAATTTAAAAAATACTACACAATAAGAATAAACAAGATCACCACAATACTTTATGTTTTCGGGGAAGTAGCAATGCCAACAATCTTTCTAGCAGCTGGAATTTACCACATTGCTCAACCAAAATATCAATGGGTGGATACGAAACTGTAGAGAGACAAAAAAAATTAAAAAAGGATGATTTCAACAGCTTTGTTAATAAAATTTATCCGTGGCATGCAAAAGCACAAACATGATTCATCGTATCCAGATTGCAATATATCAGGATGATTGCAATTCTTCCTAAGCTGCATTAGCAAGTTATTCAACTTTCCCTTCATCCCAGGCCTTACAACACCTGTTTAAAAGCCCAAAATCAACACAAAACACAAAGAAACTACCTTATCAAACCCATAATACAAAACATTACAGTTTCTCATAAAAGTATGCCCCTATTACATCATTAGCAGCAACCATATCTACATAATTGAAACATCTTACCAGAAGATACTGTTTCTATTAAATAATTCTCAAGTGTCCGATTAAGCAGGTGGTTCTGAATATTCTTTTGTTGCTCAGTCATATTGGCATAGAGGATTATCTCTTTCTTTCGAGGAAGCATCCGCTCAACATCTGCCTTCATTCGTCGAAGAAGAAATGGCCGTAAAATTGAATGCAACTTTGATATAACCTGAAGCCAAGAACAGAGCCTCCAACATCGTTACATGCAAAAGGCATTAAGCCATAGATAGAACATTTAAAGATATACCTGAACCCTTCTCTTTTCTTCGCTTTCTTCTTGTTCACCATCACTATAGTATTTCCCGGAGAAGTCAAACCTTATAAATAGAGTGGTTTAAAAAACAATACAAATTGTCTTAGGAACTCAAGGTACACAAACATACTTGGTGCAATATTAGTTTTAATAATACAAAGTTTCCAGAAAAAAATGTAATGAACATATACAAAATTAACTACCAAAATAGGAATCACAATGGTGGAGATAAGCATATTTACACATACATGAAACCTATCATCAAACTGGTTTAGATTTCTTTTCCTCGACTTCGACAACACTATTTTAATCACTCTAAATTAAATTCTCTAAGGTCCATATTTGGTAAACCCTTGCAAGCCGAAGCTACAACAACACGTCTGTCTAGACCGTCTATGACAAGGGTTCTAGCTGATTTAGACGTTACTAGGGCTTTGGACAATGAAGTTTAGATCGGCTTGTCTTCTCCAGGTTATTGCTAAATATTATATTTGAAAATTTTTTAACACAAGTACTATGATTGCTACAAAGCTCATCTAGATAGAGAAAACAATCTATTATCGATCCTTGCAACATTTAAATATGGGAGGTATGTAAGTGAAAAAAAGGGATGACATTAAAAAAAGTTGATTAGTTCTTATTTTACACGTCTACAAAATCTCATTTTATTCACATTTTTATAAGGTTTCAAATTAGTACCTTTTTTATTTATTATGCAGTTAAAAAAATGTAAATTATGACTAATTGTGCTCATGGGGGATGGTGGACCATATGATCTAAAGGGTGGTCCGCCCTCATGAAAATAACAATCTTTGTGTTCAAAACACAATCATTGAGCAGAATTTCCCACACACAACCTAAAAACTTAACTAGATTAAACTGAAGTTTGTGACTCAAGATTTCAATGTAATTTAGAATACTATTGTATTTCATTTATTTCTTACCTGCAAATCATGGAGCTATCCAGGGACTTGCAAGAGAGAAATTTTTTTAATTTATGCAACTTTAATATACTTTTCATGTATTTACCTTAAAAGAGATTTTTGGGAAGTCAATAACTTTTTCAAAAAATTGAACATATTTAATCAAAATATGGTGATACTAACAATTTAAACAAAGGTCAGATGCTCTAAAATTCGATTCTAAATGATGAAGAAAACAGCCCTACTTCAACTAAAAAAAACACATGTCACACTCCAACAATAATAAATTCATATAATAGACTACCAAAACTAGTATATGGATATAAAAGAGTAGTTTTACGTTGAAAAGAAAAAAATATAATCAAAATTCACACCCTGAAATGAATAGTTGCTTTCTTTATACAGCTTACTGATTTGTGAGTTGTGAGGTTAGGTTTTAAAAGGGTCTATGAAATTAAGTGGTTGAAAGCCATTCTTTCTAAACCTTTTTTAAAATTAGCAAAGATGATTATGTTGAACTTCGACTTTTCTAGGCCAATGTTCATCTAGATAGGCTAAAAATATCAAGTGAGAGGCAAAACGCTTAGGCTAGCTTTTGAAAATAGTTTGAAAGATTAATAAATGCTTGATATATTTCAGAATAGTTCCTGCTTAGCTTCACGATAACAAGGATACAATATTTAAATAGGTGAGAACTGATGAAATTTTTAAAGATAACTAATTCTAAGTATTTCAACCAGCCTTGGGTTTTTTTTTTTTTCTAATTGGAGTTCTACACGCACTCAAAGTCAACGAAATAATGCATACTCAGTCCCAAACTACCTAGCTTTTTAAATATTAAAAGTCTTTTCTACTGTCATACCAAAACAAGACCTTTCCCGCAAGGAAAGTAAGAACCCTCAGCTCCTGCATGAAATTAGAATCCACATATGAAAAAGTTTCTAATACTATTAGACTCTTATCGGCATTCATTGACTTTTCAACATTTACTTAGGCGATGGAAGAGGATCTCAAGCATGCACAAGTCCACATTGATTTGAGACATTGCTTTTACTAATTCAAATTTCATGGTTGATATCAAATCTCTCTCTTTTTGAAGTCGTATACAAAATCAACATACTCATTATAATTAGCAGCTTTGTATCAATATCAAGATCATGAAAATGAGCCTTTTTTAGACTTTGAACTCATAATGGATCTTGAAGAATTATTTTGGGCCTCATTGAGCAAATAACTTTTTTTACTAAATTGGAATTACTTATGAACTATTGATCAAACTTGATAGGGTTAGTACACATCTAGAAGTAAATATAAGTTTAAACACGTAAACCAAAGTATTCCATGATACAGTTCACCTAACCTAAACCAATATGCTTTAAATAATCGATTGCAAAAAATTGGTTCAAATTTCACAGTTTTGTTCTTTTGCAATACCTCAACATTGCATGAGTGAGAAAAAAGTTCAAGCATTACATTTTATTTCAGAAGAGCTAAAAACAAATCACTTATTTTGACTTTTTAACGCCATAGATGGATTTAAAAAAATATACATGAAAATCTTCCTCCAAACCATATATGCAATTGCAACCTTTATCAAATATGGAGTGTTAGAGTGGTTCTTTTTTCTTCTAATGAAAATATTTTAGCTACCTTTCACCAACTAGCATGTATATGTCCTAGTTTTAAAGAGTTCAATAGTAGGCAGGTAAAATTTCATGAAATAAATCTAAAATTCCCTAAATAGTTCGGATCAAGCTAACGATGTGTTAGACCGATCCAGCCGGTCTGCACGGAACCGGCCCAATGCAACAAAGGCAGGATCTCGGCCTCCTGCGGAGATTGGGCGATCCGAAGACCCAAGCAGAGCAATTTAGGAAGGATTTTTGAGAGATTTCAGAGGGAAATTTGAATGTAGGTATTGTTTAGGAATTTCCTTTTGATTTGTATGCATTAAATAGTTTGTTTTCCTAGGGTTATGACATCTTGAATTTGGCTGAAATTTAAGATCTCTTAGTTTGTCTTGGGCTCTAGCAACATCTAGAGATTGAGAGAGAACATCTAGAGATTGGGAGAGATAGATCCTCCTCTCGAATTGAGGATCACTTGTATCTTGTTTGTTTTTCTTCTGCTAGTTAATTTTTGCAATAAAATCTTCCATTTTCCCTGATTTTCATTGGAGTTTGGAAGAGTTTCTACAAGTGTTCCCTATCAAATTGGTATCAGAGCACGACGATCAAAGGGGAACCAATGGCCGGAAGGAAAGTGGAAATTTTGGAGGGCGAACTTGGGAAACTCAAAGCAAATTTTGAGGAGAAAATTGATGATTTTCAAAATCAAATTACATCCGTCAATGAAAAGATGAAGGAAAAGTTCGCCGTGGTGGAAGAAAAGTTGAGGAAATTGCTTGAAACCAAAACAAAACCGGTGACATCGGAAGCAAAAGAAACTACCGGCAACCATGAAAGAGATGAGAACCCTAACACGTTTAGGGGAAGAGAAAATCCATAAGTGGAGATCCATGAGGGAGAATTTGGAATGCCTCCTTTATAACCACTTTCTAGGGAGGAGATGATCATTGGCAACACAAGAAGGGGTGTTGAATTTGTAAGGAGAGGTGATGATTTCGATCGTCGGGGTGCTGATTTTAAAAGAATAAGATGGTATTTTGATGAATGGTTTGGGTATGATCGTTGGAGGGAAGATCGTAACAATTGGGGAGCACCTTCTCTTTGAGGAATTGGGGATTATGGAGAATTTAAGGAAACGGGTGTAACCCGAGGGTGAGGAAACTAAAAATGTCAATCTTTGAGGAGGAGGATGCGCACAGGTAGATCTACAAAGTATAAAGATATTTCGTCGTCAATGGGTTGACAAAGTAGGAGAGACTGACGACTTAGAAGGGAAAGCTTTGTCTTGGTATCAGTGGAGGGACATGCGACGACCCATACGGAGTTGAAGAGAGTCCAAGGATGTCTGGTAGCACGTTTTCGAACTGGCAGCGGAGGAGACTTCTACGAGCAGTTCTTCACCATAACACAGGAGAGTTCAGTGACGGAATACCGAGAAAGATTCGAGTACCTTGCTAGCTGATTAGACTGCCTTCCTGAGACAGTGCTAGAGGAAAATTTCATAAAGGAACTAATACCAGAGAACCGGACATCGGTTAGAGTAATAAGGCCTCGTGACTTAAGAGAGACTATGGAACTAGTTTAGTTGGTGGAGGATCAGAGGCACCTGGAGAGAGAAACTGAAGGTGGTAGCTCAGTAAGCTCGTACAGGATGACCACCACCTTTTTGACACCCAAGGAGCCAACACCGAGCACTCTTAGGGAGACATCAAAGGAGAAGACTATAGGAGGAAGACCTAGGGACAACTTCAAGAAGCTTACAGAGACGGAATTACAGGAGAAGACAACGAAGGAGCTATATTTCAAATATGACGAGAGGTATACACCGGGGCACAGGTGTAAGGACCAAACTCTTCAAGTTCTTATTGTTTGTGATGAAGAAGAAATGGAGGGTGTCATCTTTCCACCTTGCGGACAAGGTGGATCTTTGGAAGGGAGTATTATAAGACTGGTCCAGCCGGTCCGCATGAGATCGGCCCAGTGCAATAGAGGCGGGATCTCCACCTCCTACAGAGATCGGACGATCCAAACGCCCAAGCAGTGCAATTTAGGAAGGATTATTTTAGGGATTTGGGAGGATTTGGGAGGGAAATTTGAATGTAGGGATTGTTTAGGGATTTCCTTTTGATTTGTATGCATTAAATAGTTTGTTTTCCTAGGGTTAGGGCATCTTGAATTTGGCTGAAATTTGAGATCTCTTAGTTTGCCTTGGGCTCTAGCGGTGTCTAGAGATTGAGAGAGATCGATCCTCCTCTCAAATTGAGGATCACTTGTATCTTATTTGTTTTTCTTTCGTTAGTTGATTTTTGCAATAAAATCTTATGTTTTCCCTAATTTTCATTGGAGTTTGGAAGAGTTTCTCGCTGTTTTTTGAAAATTGATAGGAAATACTTGAGATCTACAAGCGTTCCCTATCCCGATGATAACGATGATTCTAACAAAACAAAATGAAGGTTGGACTTATAAGATGCCATTAATGATACATATGTTCAAGAGGAAAGTTAACAACTTGTTCCACAACTAGTAAATCCAATTATTGTTGCACTTGTTATTTGCTTTCTTCTACCTTCATCTAAGCAATGAGCATTACAAAGCATGGATTTGGATAAACTCATAAGAATGATAGCATACAAGCTCTTAATACCAAACCATCTATGTTTCTACGATATTATATTTCTTGTTGTAGATGCTGATGTTTTGAATTTCAATTGTTTCTTAAATATATATGAAATCTATTGGAAGCTAATCTGATATTTTTTTTCAATAATGACTTATTGAATACTAAAAAGTTATATTTCTGAAGTAGATATGGATGTTTAGAATTTCATTTGTTTCATGTAATTGAATTCTATTGAAAGCTCATATGAAATTATTTCATTAATAAGTCATCAAATACAAGAATTCAACAATGATATCAATGGATGCGTCCACTTGGTTCTAGGTACTATAAAGAAAGTGTAATAAAAAAATAAATTAAAAAGAGTAATCCCTAAGATTACCTAAAAAGAAGGAAAATTTTCTTTAGAGAGCCTTTGATAAACTAAACAAATCATGATTACTAAAAAATCCACTATGCATACTTACCAAGATTCAAATTCTTGATGGGATGAGAAAATATCAGGTAGAATAAAGTTTAACAATGACCAAAGCTCTGCCAAGTTGTTCTGGAGTGGTGTTCCGGTTAAAAGAAGCTTGTTTTCAATAGGCAAGCGTCTAATTTCCCTTAATAACTTGCAATTCATATTCTTTAAACGATGACCCTATGACAAGAAAATAGTTGATCAGCAAGAAACAATACTAGCAAGTTAAACAATGAGAATGGAGTACACGGATGATGACAGAACAAAATTTAGCTTCAATGTTACCTCATCTACAACAACATATTTCCAAGTATAATGGGACAAAAACTTTGCATCATTCATGACAACCTCATAGGAAGTAATCACAATCGGAAATTTAGGGCCTATTTCCCTTGGCATATACTTTCTCCTTAATTCAGCCCGATCAGCCTTTGAGCCATGGTATATGATAGCTTTCATAGATGGAACAAACCTGTAACAATATTCCCAATAAAGGAGAAAATCTAATGCTCGGCATAATTGATATGAAAAAGAACAAGGGGTTTTACCTAGATACTTCATTTACCCAATTCGATAGGGTAGAAAGAGGAGCTATGACCATGTATGGACCATCAAGACCATTGCCCTTAAGATGAGCAAGGAATCCAATTGTTTGAATTGTCTTACCAAGACCCATCTGATCAGCAAGGATTCCATTAAGACCATTTTGCCACAACGATATCAACCACTTCACACCTTTAACCTGATAAATTTTCAACTTTCCACCAGTCATTAGTGGGATAAGTTGCCTCTGTTCTTTTTCAACCCTTTCTTCCTCTGTAAGGTTAGCATCCTCAGGTGCAATACATTCATTTGACCTTGTTAACATGGCCGCAACAGCTGTTCTGGCTTTCCTCTAAACAACACCAAAATGAAGGCATAACTTTATGGGATAAACAAAAGTTGGAGCGATTATTTAAAATTTTCAATAGTTGTGGTAGTATATGTGCACTAGCAAAGTCATGTATGTTGCAAACTATTTAACAAAGCAATTAGCAATTATAAGCAAGCACACCGATTCTTGAGCATCAACATAAAACCACAGAAATATGCATTTTCCTTCCCTTTATATATTAAATTTTTGCTACATATTACAACAACAACAACATCATCATCAAGCCTTTGTCCCACTACATGGGGTTGGCTACATGAATCTTTTTCGCCATTGTGTCCGGTTAAAAGTCAAATTCTCATTTAAATCTAATAAAGAAATATCATTTCTAATATTTTCTAACCAAATTGTTTTAGGTCTACCTTTACCTTTCTTAACATAAGTCAAATTTAATACCTCAACTTTCCTACTCGGATCATTAGAAGACCTCCGTTTAAAATTTTGCTACATATTACAAACATAAATTTAGATGCTAATTTGATTGTATGATCGTAAGTATGTTAAAAATTTACCTGAAGCCCAATTCACATTGTTATATTACTAAAGCAAGTTCTCTCCAAACTGTAAGTGTTAGATGATTATTCTTTGATGGTGCCAAGAGTCATATGATTAGTATGATCGCATTTCGTATTGCTTTTAACATCAACTTAAGATTACTAATTGGGTTCAACTGAGTATCTATATTAACCTAACTTAACTACATAGTCCAAGATTTTGAGCTTCCTAATATGCAATATATTCCTCTTCTGTGCCAAAAAATCTTTGGTACTTACTATGGTTGCTGGAGCATCGGCAGTAATAGGTTTGAAACAGGTACTTGGGTTCCATTTTGCCAGATTATATACGAAATACTATCAAGAATAGCTCCTAAAACTAGATATTACCAATGGAGTATATATTCTTAGTAGCAAAGCATATGATAAGATCCCCGAGCAAAATGTTATTCTTGTTTTGCAAAACGCATAGTTAGTGCGCATGTACTTAAATATCTTTTATCCTTTGTTTGAGCGTAACATGTATGTTTCTCATGCTTCTAAATGGTCAAATATTAAGTTTGCAGTCCGCACGATTGGTGATTTCATGTATGAAATATTGCTGAGATATTTGCTATAGGACTCACTGTGTTATACTGGCTGGTTGCCTTCCTCTTCTGACCACGGCCAGCCTTATTCCCATTACAGGCGTCCGCTTCAGTCTGATTTTCCAAACCGCTCTGCTAGAAAAATGTTTAGCATCGTAAGTAAAAGAATAATAACACATATTATTTATAGAACTTAAGCAGTCATTGAAGAAATAGTACAAATGTTATATCCTCCATCTTCTCCAGAAGAAACTCGGAATACAGCTGCGTTTGTGTAAGAAGCTCATCCAACTTGCTGAACTTTACTTCCAAGCTTGGCGTCACTTGCTCTTCCTGCTTATCCGTCTCTTCCTCCCTCATTCGTTTCTCTAGCAATTTTTCCTCCTCTTCCTCCATGGTTTTTGAGATGAGGAGCGTATCACCATTTTTCGCTTCAAGTTCGAGCGGCAGAAGTGCATCATCCTCACTGATCTTTCCATTCTCTTCATGGATGTTGCTCTGATTCCACGAGAGACTCAACGTCATCAGAAAAAGGTGACAGAAAATCAATGAGAAACAAAACAAATAACACATTAACCAAAAAACCATGTAAAATATGGAACGTAAGCTAGCCATCTAGCCATTATCAATACGAATCCTCAATACCATCGCCAGCAGTAAAATGTGGGGAAATTTTTGATGAAATTGAATAGATAGAGACGCGATCAGCATTGCCAAACTCAATCGCAAAAAATTATGTCATAGAAAAATGGAAGCAAAAACAAAAAACCTCGTCTTCTAGAACAGATATTGGAGAAGCCGTCGCTTCATCATCTTTCACCCCGTTCTCTATACTCGCCTCCATTTCCCCCAGCTGCAAATATCACCAACAAAACTTCACATTAATGAGCCAGCAATCTCGGGAAAAAGTGAGGGAAATTTTTAATTAATAAACTTAGGGCAAAGGATTTCCCCCTATTAAGATTGCTCCCATAAAAAAATAAAATGATAAACATCCAAAGAAAAACAAAAATTTGAAAAAATCACTTGCGTTTTCTATGGAATCGTCTCAAGGTTTTTGGTGGAGAAGAATCGGCAGCCGGCGGCGATATGGAAGAGCAAGTGACGGAGCTTAGAGCAGAAAAGCCAAGTAGGGCATTATTGCGTTTCGGCGGGAAAATAGCGAAGACAGATTACCTTAAAGGGTCGACAACTTGACTTATTTACAAGCCTCCGTTCATAAATGTTGCCAGATGAAAAGAGTAATATTGTAAATTGTTTGCAGAATTTGAATTTTTTTTTCTTTCGTGCTGTGTCGCATGACTGCCTCGGACCGCACGTTGTACCAGCCATTTTTCCCACAGATGGCAATTCACAGAAGCTATTTAAATAATAAATTATATTACTTTAATTTTTTTTTGTTATTATGTAAAAAATAAAAATTCAATGATAAAAATTAAATTTAAATTTTCCTCATGGCAAGAAACATTTTAATTTTGATTTTATGTCTCATATTAATAATTATTAAAAAATATGCACTCTTTATTGTGATGGAGATATATGCTTCAGTATTTTGTTCAGATTAAAATAATAAATTTATTAAACAAATAGAGTTGGATGATTGCACCTTCATAGCATCTCCAATCGAAAATAACATTTTTCACTCCAAAATGTCGTGAAACTACAAAATGCGGCGATTCATCTCCAATCAAATTTAACTTTTTCACACTTTTGCAGCTAAAGGTCCTCTCTTCTTTCCCGCGCCAAGTTCAGTAGAGAGGTAAAAATGACGGAGATGAACAGTGCAACGTCAATATTGGCACTGTTCACCCGCAGCCAAATAGCGAGAAATTTGCAGTATGGCTGGAGCTGACCAGGGACGCTATTCAAGCGGTTGCAGTTCGGTTGGAGATGCCCTCAAGACTTATATGCAATCATTAATCATATGAGTTGAGACATGCATCTTTTCCTCCCTTCATTCAAGCGGTTGCAGTGCGATTAAAGATGTTCGAAGAAGGTTCGTGAATAGCCAAATATCTAATCTGCACGATTCAAGCATAGTCTGCACAATTTTAGTCATTTTTTTTTGAAATTTTGAAATATTTTATGTATTTTGGATATTTTGCCCCCCTAAAAAATATTTTTTTCTCTAATTTTATCAATCCTAAACATCTTTGTCCATCTCCCACAAAAAATTTTTTTTTGCCCACCCTAAAAATAAAGCTGAATCCGCCCTTGATCCGCTGCACCTCAGAGGCATATAACAGCCCTCTGTATCCCGCTAGGCCGTCGGGAAGAGCAATGGCATTTTGGACAAGGGTCTTGAAGCCGAGTCGGATCTGTTCGAGATCTCTCTTCAGAGGTGAATACGGCATGGGAGAGTCTGTATCGAAGTTCTTCCAGGATTTTCATTTGGAGAGACGAGAAGCTTGTTAAACTTGTTAGCATTGAAGTGCCAAGGCCCAAAAAAAAAAAAAATTCCTTATTATTTGCCCGCGATAACCAAAACGAGCTCTTTGATTCTTTGCGCTGTTAGGTTTAGTGAAGTTTGAAGAAGCATTTGTACATGTTTACAGTGTACATGGAATACAAGAAAGATACATAGAAGAAGCATTTTAAAGCATCAGAAAATGGTTTGCAATAAAAGAAAAAAAATGTTCTTTAATTTTTTGAAATGATGTTAATAAAGATTCAGATGATACGAAATCTTTGATTTTATGTTCATTTTCTTGGTGGTATCAGAAAGAAGATCAGTGAGTAAGACCCTACTTATAAATAAACATTTTAAAAATTATAAGATCAGATATTAAGACCCTACTTCTTAAAGAGCAAAAAATAAAAAAAAAAAATTTCTCTCTATCACAAATATATTTACGTTTATTGCAGCACTCTGCTAAATTAATACACATCAAAATATTATATCTTATAATCTAAAAAAAATTATAATAAGATAGTGCAATAAATAAATACACTAGTTTTATTTTATAACACTAAATAATACTAAATTGTTATAAATATACTGTTTTTATAAATACATTAGTTGTAATGTCAAAATAAATTATTACAAAAAACCCGTTTTTACTTTACTCTGGATCTTCCTAACCAAACAAGAGAAACAATTCTCCTGCATTTATTTTATAGACATCCCAAACAGTCTCAAAATATTTGGAATGCACTAAATTTATTTTACATTGCATTTACTTTATACCGCATTTTCTTTTCAGCCAACCAAACAGCCCCTAAGTACATTATAGTGTCATGGATATCTTTTAGCTTTACTAATCATATTAATTTTACTATTAATTGATATTGACATTGATTGATATTAAAATTGAGTGGAACATGTATATTGATTCTTTTGTCTTGTATTAAGTGCAGCTGCGAATTTTGGTTACTTGGCCAATATTATGCTCATTATGTAATTTTATTTGATTTCACGTAAAGATAAAGAGCCTTTAGAGTGAGGATACCTAGTGATGATGGTTTAGTGCTAGTTTAGTTTACTTCCAACTTTAGCTTTGATGTATATTTTCTAGCTTGTAATGACTATTATGTATATACTTTTGGACTCGGGACTTTGAATCAAGATGTAAATATTGGTCATAGTAATCTAATTATAATTTTGTTTTTTTTTTTAATTTAATTAGTTAGTTGTGATTGTCAATGATTTGATTCTTAAAAAATTGAAAGGATGGTTGAAAAAAAAAATGAAATTCTTCCATTTTAGATGTTGGGGTGTCACTTAAGCTACATCACTCCTATAAATTTCTCATTTTTATAATCATATATGTGGCCGATGATGCAACACCCTTGCCTTAACCCAAATTTATAAATAGTGGACCATATAGAGAACTCGAGTTGCATTACTTTTTGCACTCAAGCTTATTCGGTGAAATTAGAGAGCTTTCATATTATAATTCACTATTGTTTTTTTTTTTTTTTTAATTCCTTTATTTATCTTTCGATAGTGCTCTCAATAAGATGTAGTGTGATTTATGAATAATTTTGAATAAATACAGTATTTTTGAAGATGTGATGAGCGTGGAGCATGCCACAAACCAAAATAACAAAGCAAAGTTGCATAATAAGAAGGAATTAGTGAATGTCGAGATCCACAAGGAATCTATCACTACTAGAGAACTTACACATTTAGAGAAAAGAATTAGTCAAATGATCTGAGGAGCACTAGCACGAATGCCAAGGGCCACTCCTCTAGTAGAATTACCAACAAATATATTTTGATTTTGTTGTGAGATAAATATAACTTTTTGGAGTTAGGATATTGCCATTAAGGCTAGTTGTTGATGAAACATATTATCTAAATAGTGTAGATTCACCTTCTTTTTATTGTTGAGAAGATAAGGGGGTTGAAAATAAAAGGTCAAAACTGATAAATATTTATTTATTTTTCCTCATCTAGATTCATACAAGGGAAAGGCAGACGCCATGAATCGTGTATTTTACATCAAATCAATTGTTTCTTTATTTGACATCTCTAATTATCTAAAGTGCTGATTATCCTTCACCACTTGAAGAAATCGCATATCCTATGGTTCTCTTGATGATTTCTACTTTGGGTAATTAGTTCATTCAACTAAAAGTCCGTTTGGGACAGCTTTTTACCTGCTTCTATAAACAACTTTCTAGTAAAAGCTACTTTAATAAACAATAAAAAGTTATTCCAAATAAAATCAAAATGTTGCAATGAGTTAGGTTGATACTTTTGTTGAATATTTGAAGTTGGGAACTATCACAACAATCGTGAATGATCATGGCAAGCTAAAATTAATGTTGCTCAATATCCACTTATCGAAGTTGGGTTACTTAGAAAGTTGGCAATGTCAACTTATTTGAGATGTGTGAAGGAATTATAAATCAAATTTTCACTTGAAGTGGTTTTGTCTTGGGAATGTTGAAGTCGTTTAGGCGAAATGACTTTGGCAAATAGAATTTTAAGACAAGATTATTTCTAGTAAATTTCTAGATAATATGTGGGGTATTGTTCTAAAATAGATCTTTGATGTTAGAAATTCGCCTCCAAGCAACTATGACTATCATACAATTTGCAACAAAAGTTTTATTTTATGGTCATTCGGTGTTTGATGTATGGATTTAATTTGTACTGATTAACCACCATTTTAAGTGGATTGAGGTAAAAGCACTTACAAATACTATTGTTGAATTTATTCACAATTTCATATGTTGCCAATTTTCTATGGTAATCATCACTGATAATGAGCCTTAATTATTTGATAGAAAGATGAAAAAAATTCTCTCGAACTCAAAGAATGTGATCGAAGTCCTTTTAAGTTCATTATCCCAAGAACAATGAGCAATAAGTTGAAGCGACAATTAAGCTCACTTTGAGTTTATTATGGAAGAAAGTGGAAGGCACAAAAGCAAATGAGTTGGAGTACTAAGCCTAATTTTGTGAGTGTTGAGAATGACTCCATCATCAACAATCAAGCTGGCCCATTTTGCATTGTCACATAGGATAGAAGTTATTTTATTTGTCGAGTATAAGCTACATGCCAAAGAGTAGGCGTCACCTCAATTTTTTAAGAAGGGGGCTCTAATGAATGGAGGAAGATAAAAAGGAGGAATAAAGACAATACTTGGGATTCTTCAATAATATAGAATCCAATTCCTAATAATAAAAGAGGAAGTCAAGAGAAGAGTTTACAATTTATATGTTTGTGAGAAATGCTTTCATACCATATATCTTATTTTAAGAAAAGTTGAGGTCGCTACTCAATAATTCGTACTTAGGCAATTTGGTATCTACTCAGGAAAATTCATACAACATCAAAGAGTAAGACATCTTTGAGTCCTACCGACTTCAAGCTTATTTAGTTAACGAAGTCCCATGATGTAATAATCTAATTTTTGTATGATTCAAAACTCAATGAAGAATAAGGGGTTTATTCAAAATTTTTTGGTAGTGAAATGACTAATAAATACGGAGAAGATCAATGGAATGTTAGGAGTATTTTGAATGGAAGACTGATATCGACCCCCTAGATCGAGGACCGTTTATTGAGTATTTGAGTATTTTAATGATATCAGAATTCAGCGATATTGGGCTTGTTGGATTCATCTCGTTGAGGCGCTCAATTCAACTATAAGCATGTCACATTTGAAAATTATTTGGTCATCCAATTTATGGTTTGAACCTTCAAAATGTGCTTCAGGTTTTTGATCTTGACCCATTTGGGTTCGGATTTGGTCGAATATGGTGTCGATGAGTTCATCTTTTCGAGACATTCAATTCAACTATAAGTTTGTTGAAATCAAATAGGGGATGTCCCAAATTTAATTTTAGAAGTTTTAAACTCAATTTTACCTTGAGATTTGTGGCCGATCATGATTATTTATTGATGATATTCAATGTTGTAACATGCTGGTGTAATTTTGGGAGATTTACATACATACCACTTAATACTATTCTATTTATATATTTAACACCTAAAATTTTAATATTACATACATATCACCCATAGTTCATTTTCATACTAAATATGAGTGGTAGAAATGAAATATATGAGTGGTAGGAAAGAAATATAAGTGGTATATTTGATATTAAAATAATATAGAGTGGTATGCATGTAATATTAAAATTTTAGATGTTAGATATGTAAATAAGATGTTATAATGTGGTATGTATATAAATTTCCCTTTTTTTTTTAACAATTATCTGTTCCATTTACAAGACCACCGTGCCGGATTTCCATAGTTCTTTTAATCCTCAATTCCTCATCCGCAGCTGCAATCGATTCATCGTTTCCCACCTCATCTGCTCTAGTGATTCGCTACTCTCTTCTCCCGCCAAAAGCGACGGCATCATGCCCCTCCTCCTCCAGCCCCTCCACAACCAGACCATCTCCTCCTCCCATAACCCCAAGCCTAAATCTCCATCCCCGCACCCACCTCTCCTCCTCCGATTCCGCCCCTCCGATCGCCAAATCGCCCAACACCTCAACACCCTAGGCATCCGCGCCTCTCCGTCGTCTTCCTCGGAATCTCTTCACTGGATGCTCTCCGTTGTGAACTATTTTGAATCCAAAGGCTTCTCCAACATCCATTTCCCCCGGTTATTCCATCTCTGCCCTCAGATGTTCTCCTCCGCTGACCTCAACCGCACCATCGCCCCCGTCTTTTCCTTTCTTATCTCCGAGCTCGGCGCATCCACTGAACAGTCTCGTGATTTCATTGTCCGATGCCCGGAGCTTCTCAATTGAAATATCGAGTTTCGACTTAGACCGACCCTGGTTTTTCTCCGCGAAATAGGAGTTTATAATCTCCATGTCCCTTCCATTCTCAATTCTAACCTGCTTATAATCCCTGTTGGTCAGCTTGGATCTAGGATCAGGTTTCTGGAGAGCATGGGTCTTTCTTACGAGGAACCCGCTGGGATTTGCAGACGATTTTCGTCTATTTTTCGACAGCGAGGAGAATAACCTGAGGCCTAAGTTTGAGTACCTGCTGTACGAAATGGGGGGATCGGTGGAGGAGGTGAAGAGGTTTCCGCAATACTTTGGATTTTGTTTGAAGAAGAGGATAGTGCCGAGGCATTTGCATCTCAAGCAGAGGAATATTAGGCCTTCATTGAAATGGATGTTGATGCCGGGGGACAAAGTTCTATGGCAAGTGGAAATAGAGCTATTGGAGCAACTGGGGTATGATTTTGCCATACTTAGTTTTCTCTCTTGATCGTTATGTACCTTCAAGATGGAGTGATCAAGTTCACGTGAATGCTATGCTTGCTATGTAGTTCTATATTCCTTCCTCATTCTATTACTTGAAATGTCTCATACTTGCCTATACCTTGAAAGTAAAAATAAACAAATAAAAAGTTTTAAAATGCTTTTTTTTTCTTGCAGACATTTTACTTCAATGGTTGGGTTGTAGTGACATCTTTCGGAACTTCACCGGAGTCGCATACTTCCATCAGCCCTTTCATTGAACGTGAGGCTAACTGGGCCCTTGCTCACACGTGCAGTGTGCGGACCAATAAAAATGGTCAAAGCCTATTTGGCCGTGCAGATTATACGTGCCCAGCACAAGGAAAGGGTTGTAAAAAGGCTTGTTGTTCGTGTTTGATCATATTTTACTTGATAATTAACTCATGTTTTACTGGTTTTTATAAGCTAGATCACTAATTATGATTTATTTCATGACCACGCATACAACTAATTTAAAGTTATGATAATTATAATTCTATTATTGATGTGAACAAGTCACAAGCGAAATTCGAACCATATGATAAGGTAAGATGCATCTAAAATTCCAAAACGCTCTATAAAGAGATTTCTTAGGAATCATCTGCTAGAAAGATGAGGCATATAGAACTATGCAACACATCTAGACTTATGCTTAGGAATTGAAAATTTGGAGAGTTATAATAGTGTTCTATTCTTTAATACATAGAATTTGATTTTATTTTATGATTGTATTGACAGTAGAATGAACTCCTATTTCTTTTCATTCCCTCCTTGCTTATTCACTTACAAAACCTTATCAGATATATGCAAATATTGTGTATATTACTGATGGTGGACATCATATGTTTCTTGTGCCATGAAATAATGAACTTATTTATGATGATTTTTTAAATTAATTTGTAGAATCATAATAATTTACCTAAATTTGCATGATATAAATAAAATAATTTATTCATCTGAGCGATTTTTTTTTTGAATCCAAGCTAAATGATGTAAATATAAAAGCTTGTCGCTTGTGCTTATTGATAATGTAATTAACGTGCATTAGTGTGTATTGATTCTTAATTTTTTTGTTTCTAAATTCATTTCAAGGGTAAAGCCATGCCCATGATTATGACTCTTATATGAATGAGATGTGTTATCTAATATTTTGTTATAATTAGTTTATTATTGTAAGCTTTCAACTCAACTCATTGAATTCTAAGTCAGCACATCTAGAATTCAGATTCATTCAAATTGTTGTGATGAGAAGATTTTGAAGGATACATGTTGTTGTATGCTATTATGTCTTTCTTGTTTCTATTAGTATGTCGACCTTGCTACTCGTTGGTTCCATTCACACTAGTTTGCACTATTCATGCCGTTGATTTGATTCCACGTCATTTATTTCTCTAGGACATGCTAGTCATGTTGTTTCCACATCTATTACCCATTAGTTATATTATTGTTGATTTTCACTTGCGATTCCCTCTAAATTTTCACCTCTATTACTATTTTCTTTGATTGTCATATTTGTATCCTGCGAAAGATTTTTCGCTCTAGTGGGCCTCTGTTAATGTGGTAATGGGAGAATTGGATTTTACAAATCAAGAGCTAGATTTTATATGGAAGATTTCATGCTTTATTGGAATTCATGAAGGATGTATTGAAAGTTGTTATATTTGACTATAGCTTTATAGACTTTAAGAAGCTTTTTTTTGGTCTTTTGTGGGTTATAAATAGAACGCCCATGGCATGTAAACAGCATGAAACATTGAAAATTGAGTATTGTAGTAAAAAAAAAAGTCACATCAATGACCATCCTATATCATCTAGATGGATATACCCCTGTCATAGAAACATGTTCTTCATGATCACTGAAATTACTCCAAGAATGTCAGGAAAACCAACCTTTATTCCCATTCCGTCTAAGAATCACATCCTACAACATTAGAAGGCTAAATATGAATTGAAACAGAAGTGATAATTTCAAAACAACGGACAACTTGCCCTTGCTACAAACAACAATATTCAATCCCAGGAATCATAGAAGCCTGAAGCCAGTCTTACTCCAATAGTTAGGATATACTGATAAGAACACCAACACCAAGACTCAATCGTCAATCTATTTCACCACTCTATCCACCCAAAAAAAAAAACCTTCACATTGAAAGAATTGAATCTGTTATAAATTATATAAGTTTTTATTGTATAAGAATCAGTCAAAATCTAAACCATGATCTTGATTATTTTTCTTTTGCTTATTTTCACTGCTTTGGACCACCTTTGTTAGAACGAGGTCTGACTGACTTCACTTCGCCAGAACTGCTTGATGTTGAATTGTTAACCCCATAGTCACTGGTTCGTACGCTGTACTCTTGACTGATTTCATTACTTCCAAATGCAACCTTTCTGTAACGACTGATGTTAGAGGCATAGGAGCCCGAGTCATGGTCTGAACTCGAACTGAAGAGCATACTTTGTCCTGGCTTGACCCCCTCATTCAAGTCATCCAGGGATGAATCACCTTCCAGTGCTCGAGCAATCTGCAGGTACGAATGAATAATTTACCAGACTTTTGCAATGTATACATTTTATAGTTATTTTCTACGCCAATATGCATTTTCTTGGAAGGCATTAGCAAGTAGCAACTAAGACGTTTAGCAAATGTCATTCATTATATTTTCCTAATATCATAGACTGATGGAATGTTCAAAGAATACCTCAATTACTCAAAGTGAATGAGGAGTCGGCTAATTTAAATGTTGTTGCATAAAAAATCCCATTCCAAAAACTACATAATCGTAGAAATATATCTATTGTGGATGGATTAAAAAGGGGGATTAGTTGGTTGGGATAAGGCTAATACTGCTGATGACAATTACGATACCGGTAACAAATAATGCTGAACTTAGTACGGTTATCTGACGATGAAGAGGGAAATTGGTTGTGATTATACTCATGAAGGTAGGAAATAACTCTTTACCTGGCTCATCTTGGGGCGTCTTTTCGCCGAGTGCCGAACACTAGCAGCAGCACATGCTACCATCCGTGTCATCTCCAGATTGCTAAAATTTCCTTCCAATCTTGGATCAGCTAGTTCATCATAGTTCTCCTCAGATAATGTTTCTGCTAATAAAGGCCTTGCCTGATCCATATAGATAATTCTCAGGCAAAAATTGGTTTTATTAGTTCTAGTTTATATCTAGATTGGCTTGCAAACCAAAGACTTACCCAGTCAACCAAGCTATCCTCCATTGCATCACTGTCTACTGGTTTCTTTCCAGTAATCAGCTCCAGAAGCATTACACCAAACGAGAAAACATCCGATTTCTCCGTAAGCTTGCCACTGGATGCATATTCAGGAGCCAGATATCTAAATATTACATAGAAGAGTTTAGCTTCATGAGGAAGGAATACACATGGCTAGACTAGCTATCGATCTATAAAAGTTATTAAGTATTCCCTAAAGGATACTTATAATTATAAAAAAAGAGCAAATATTTTTGAAGAAGTTGTAAGTATTATTATTATTTTTTTAAAAAATCAGATGACAATTTTTTACAGCTATGTCAATTTCGGGTCATGGGTCGGGTTCGAGTCGAACCCGGAATTGACCCGACACTATTTGGGTCAACTCAAACCCAACTTGGTTTTGCATACGGGTATGTTTTTAGGATCCGAACCCGACCCGCTTCGGGATTGGGTCAACCCGACCCGGCCCACTTTGTGATTGACAGTGGCACGCCTCGTGCGTTTAAGGGACTTTGGCGGCCGACAGCATCGCGGGCAGGCGGCGTTCGGCAGCTGGCAGCGACGCGCGACAGACTCGACAGTGACAACGGCTCGTAGGCAGCAGGATCGCGGGCAAATGCAACTGCACGAGTCGCGCGTTAGGTCGGACAGGCGATGTGATGCGCGTCACTCATGGAAGCAGCTCGATGCATGTGGGCAGATCGGGTAGCCGAGTCATTTCGGGTTCTCGGGTCAACCCGAACCCGACCCGTTTTTTAAAATAGGTTGAAAACCCCAACTTGAACTCTACCCGGTTTGGGTTCAAGTCAACCCAAACTCAAAATTTTCTGGTTGGGTTCGGGTCGAGTTTTTGGGTCGGGTCAAATATTGACACTCCTACTTACAAGTCTTATTTTAACAAGTTGGCACTCATCATATAAATTTTTGAAAAGACGAAGCAAGTTGATGTAGCCAAAAACAGAAATATGATAGTTTTATGAAAAACAAGATAGTAAAAAAACTGCCCCAAATAAATCATAAGGGAACTTACCCAAATGTGCCCATGACTCGAGTAGAGACATGGGTGTAGTTGTCCGAAGTTAACTTGGCCAGTCCAAAGTCTGCAACCTGATGGAACCTTACATAAGTTAAGCATCATCCTATTTATGCAGCCAAGCTATTAAACTTACCATAGCTTCGAATTTATCATCCAGAAGAATGTTTGCAGCTTTGATGTCGCGATGAATAATGCGAGGATGACCTTCAATTTAATGAAATAGTTGGAGAAATTAGGTGAATGGAGGGTTTAGAAAAATCATGAAAGGAGTACAGTAAGTATCAGTACTGACAATCTTCATGCAAGTAGGCAAGGCCTTTCGCTGATCCTAAAGCAATCTTCATTCTGGTAGGCCAGTTCATTGTTGGCTGGTTCTTTCCTGCAATGAGACGAACTTCATCATTCTGTAACTTTAATACAGTTCAGCAACCACAGAAAGAATACGACAAGGAGATTCAAAAACTTAAAAATAGAACAAATTTAACAGAAGTTTGATAATGATGGTTAAAATATAAAGAAATTAGACTCATCAGTGTTTTATGATAAGATGGTATCATCAATCCTTCAGTTTAATTTTAATTATGAGAAGATGTTATAATTAGGCTAGTGATATTAAAAGAGGTAGATGAAATTAATGTTGAATAGCTACAAAAGAATTAGTAAACCTTATGCAAAATCAATAGAAGCACTAAGGACATCTCCAACCAAAAATATCAATTTTCACTTCAAAATGCAGTGTAACAAAAAAAAAAAAAATGACGTTATTCATCTCTAATCGAACTCCATTTTGCATCTAGGTAACCGTCTTTATCCTTCGTGCGTTTCTTTTGGCAAATCCGGTGGAGACAAAAATAATGTAGGTGAACAGCACTGTTCACCCGCAACCAAATACCGGAAGTTTTGCCGTTCGGTTGTAGCTTACGAGAGATGCCATTCATGCGTTTGGAGTTCAGTTGGAGATGCCCTAAGTAGACATGAATGAAAATGCAGGCAACCTTACCATGCAGGTGGAACTCAAGAGTCTTGTTAGGAACAAAGTCATAAACAAGCAATCGTTGAGAGCCAGCAATGCAGTAACCAACAAGAGAGACCAGATGGCGATGGTGAACTCTGCTAATAATCTCAACCTCTGCATGGAACTCCCTCTCTCCTTGCCCGCTACCTGCCTTGAGCTGTTTCACAGCAACTTCTTTCCCGTTTGGCAAAACTCCCTTGTACACATAACCAAAGCCACCTTGTCCTATTAGATTTTCATGAGAGAATCCATTTGTGGCTGATGCCAACTGCTCATAACTGAATGTGCTCTTAATGAAGCCGAGGGCAAGGGCAGGAGAGGGCGGAGGCAAGGCTGGTCCATGTGGGCCTGAGTATTCCATGCTCGCTTCACTGTTCATGGAATGGGGAGGAGGTGCATGCCAAGCCACTCCTTGAGAAATTGGCATATTGATGGCAGCATTTGGTCCTCCTTTATGCCATTTCGGAGGAGGGCCTGCTCCACTGCTGTAGTAATCACTGCCTGCAATATTTGACACATTTGTATTTGCTATGCCTGGTTAAAAGATGAATCAAACATAAAATTAATTATTATGTGCGGACGCCGAATGCCGTCCGGAGACCAATCAGAATGCGCCACATCACCCCTTCATTCAGTATCGTATTCTGATTGATCTCCAAACGGCCTTCTGCGTCCGGTCCACGGAATAATTTCTCCAAACATAAAGGATGTTTATGAGTCTAGGGTCAATGCAAATTATGTGAAGGTATTGATGTAAAAAACCTTATCTTTAATTGCAAATAGAAAGTCTGCGATTTGAATTTGTGAATTTTAAAAAATCATAATGAAAGTAACATAAACATTGCTTCAATTTAACTCTATAGTAAGCGCCCTAATTTTGAAGAATATATTTAAGGGCCATTTTTCCACAGCTTTATTTTATATATATGACATATTTATTTTTTACTATAACTTTTTAATAATTTTTTGATGAAAATCAACTTTTTTATATTTAGATTTGCCAGTTCGTGATAAATAGAAAGCTGTTAATTGATTTTCTTAGAAGAGAAAAAAATTATAATGCACAATTTTTTAAAATTTTGATTTTTCTTATGAAAAAATTATAATTATTTTTACAAATAGTTGCAATACTCCTAAATAAATCTATGACTACAGTACTTGAACTAAAAGGCATTGCTAAAATATTATCTTTTTTAAGTATTTAAGTTCAATTCTTTTTCTGAAAATCATGTTATTGAAAATGGCAATCTATTAAATATTTTTCTCACCATAAAAAAAAAAAGTAAAAACAAGAACAAAACTCATTGCAGAATAGAACAAAATGAGCTTAAAAAAAAATTCTAAATATGGATACCTTTAACATCAGAATCTGAGTAGTAGTGCATTGCGTTATGATTCCTCTTCTTCTTTTTCTTCCCACAACAGAAACATGCTGTAATGCCAATAATCAGAATAAATAGAGCAATGCCAGCAGCAACTCCAGCCACCAGAGGCAAATTGAAATCAGATCCACCTGATGATTTTCTTGAATTAGCATTTTTATCATCAGATGTAGGGGTTGGAGTAGAAGGCGAGGGCTTCGCCGGCCGTTTTGGCGGGGGAGGTGGGGCGGAATTGCTGGAAGAAGGCGGCGACTTGGACGATGATGGCGGCGTTGGAGGGGGTTGTGACGGTGGAGGCACGGGAGGTGAGGGTGGAGAAGATCTGCCTGGTGATGATGGAGGTGGTGCTGAGGTGGTCGGCGGGCTTAGGGATGGAGGGGCTGGTGGTGGTGGTGAGGATGATGGCGGTGGTGCCGAGGCGGCCGGAGGGGTTGGAGATGGTGGTGATGGATTGGTTTGTGTGTTATTTGAAGATGAGGAGTTGGTATGTGATGGTGGTGCGGTCTGAGGGGAAGAGGCCATCTCTGAAAATTATGAATTAGTGTTAGATGGAGCTCCACTCTTCCTCAAACTGCTCCTACGGGCAAGCTTTACTGTTATTAGAGGTCTCTGCAAAGATTGGACGATTGTACTAAACAATCAAAACCAAAGATCAAGGAGATAAATTTGCAATATAATTACATGTGAAAAACCAAATCAAGCGGCCATGGCTAGGAAAGGAATGATGCAATTAACTGGACAAAAATTGTTTTAATGATTATATTGTCGGTAGTTCCTCAATTGGAGGATACCGTTTTAAATAGATCTTTTAAACTTATAGATTTAAGCATTTGTTATAGTTTGAGCTGTAAGATCATCACCAACTAAACTTCATACCACCGTACGACATCCGTCATTTACTCCATTCGAATTCCAAATTGCATGCCAAATTCCGATAGGTGAACAGTGCGATGCCAATAGTGGCGTCGGAATGTTCACTTACGAAAAAAAAAAAAAATCGCTGCGGAATTTGTCAAAGAAGCGTGCGAAAGAGAGAAAAACATGCCAAAGATGATTACCTTCGCAGGAAGCGCACGAAAGAAGAAATGGCATTCAATTGTAGAAAAATGAATGCGTTTTGAAGTTTGTTGTATTTTAGAATGGAAAATGAGTTTTTCGGCTGGAGATGCCCTAATCATAGGCACTAAAAATTCATAGAGAAACAAATCTTAATTCTTAAAAAAAAAAAAATTTCAAACCAATTGCTTGAAAATGTATAAATGTTTATTATGTAAATATCCATATGATATTTATTTTGCCATTTCATCAATATTTAGTAGATTTTTGTTTTACATAAGCAAAATATTTTTTCAAAAAGTACCGAGTTGCTTTTTAGGTCTTCCGATAATTTGAATATTGAAAAATTGTGTTAGGAGTTAAATATAGTGAAACCAGCATTTTGTAAACACCATCAATAATTTTTTAAGACATTTGTAATTCCAAATTTTATAACTTCAATGGGAAAATAAAAATTTTAAATATATAAAAACATTTTAAAATTTTGAAGAGGGATATGACCCATAAAATGTACCATTGATTTTAAAAATTAAACTTATTATAGGATGAGCAAATGAGTGTTACAAGCAAGAACTTACCTAAATTCAAATCCAATGATTAATTATTAGAATATTATGACCTAATCTAATTCAAAATATTCCAGCCTAATTTTTCCCACGAGAATTGCTGATAGATACACGAAATGATGATCTAAGCACAAGCCTTTATTTCTTGCTACAACAAATGCATAAATCTCTATATGAAAATCCTATATTTTTGTATTAAACTTTCAATATTTGGCTGACACTCACAATTTGGATACAGAAGAGTTCCTCTAAGATGAAAAATTATTAGGTGCGGAGTGCACATCGTCCGCACAAGTGCTGAGTACCTAGCAGTATCCAGCGGTACCGAATGTAGGTACCCAATACTTGTGCGGACGGTTCTCTCCGTCCGCACCCCGCACCTAATAATCTCTCCTCTGAGATACATTTTGTGGTATTTCTCACAGAAATTCTATAGAAAATCCCCTTTACTTCTTTTTTTTTTTTGTGAACAGAAAGCAAAAGAGACCAGAGAGAGAGAGAGAGAGAGAGAGAACCTTCCTGGTACTTCCTGTGTTTGTTAGAGAGAGGGGTGAATAAGAGGGCTAAGGATGCAGAAGCATTAAGCGTATGCTTTGCCCTCCGCCCGCCGAGCACCACCGCCTCCGCTCTCCTTCTTCAACTAATATTTTAATGAAGCCATGGATTTTTGTTCACAGGGTGATTTGGAGGAGAGCGACAGATTAATTTTAGGAAAAAAAAAAGCTAATCGACGAAGAGAAAGAGAAGCAAAAAATAAACTTTTAATAATAATAATACAAGGAAAAAAATAGGCTGTTTGTTGGTGCGAACGGCCGTTGATTTCGGGGTGGGCACATCCGCGAGGTTTCAACGGCTTGACCTATCCTGCGAGTGTTGGTTAGCGCCAAATTCCAGCCCAGCTCGATCCTACCTGGCGTAGCAGGACTGGTTAGAATTTTGTTCGCTGTCCGTGTGGGCCCCGTTTTAAGATGACGTTGCCTATCCATGCGTACAACAGAAGAATGCTAAATAAATACATCAGTTATTTTAGATTTGTTTGGTTGATTTATTCATTTCTTATTATTTATTGAATAACATTTATTTTGTTTTTTTTAACCGATGAGAGTAAAATTTTATATATTTATTGAGACGGGAGACTCAAGCTTTGTTTGGGACAAATTTTTTATTGCTTTTTAAAGCAACTTTTTAATACAAAAATTAAAATCTTTGTACTAAAAAGTTACTTTAAGAATCAGAAAAAAAACTGTCTCAAACAAAACCTCAGTTAATTAATAAACAAAATAGAATAAGTAATAGCCCATAAATCTTCAATGGACAAACCTGTAAATTAAGACTTTTTTTAGATAACTTTTTTATTACTATGAGATAATAAACAAATTTTTAATACAAAAAAATTTAATTCAAACAAATTTTATCAAAATAAAATAATATTGGAATAAAAGTAAATCAAACTTAGGCTTTGTTTAGGACATCTTGCATACTGCTTTTAAAATAGCTTTCTAGACAATTTTCAAATTCAAAAAATTTTGTAATGAAAAACTATTTTAAAAAGCAAAAAGAAAATAATCCCAAATGAAACCTTAACCACATTGAAATCCAATTTAATCCAAATTCTACCATCTTGCATTTTGTGAAAATTATTATAATTGGGCTCAAAGTTTATGATTTTACGAGTTCTAAAAAGTGAGGGTAAAAAAGCTGAGCTGGAGTGATTTTGGCTTCCAAACGATTAAGTGTGAGTTTGAAACGGCTGCAGTTGTCGGTAAAGTAGGTTGCAAAATTGTTGTACATAAAATTGCTTTCAGAAATTGTTGTACAAAAAGCAGTACATTTTGTACTAAAAAACTATTTTATAAAGCAAGAAAAAAGCCGTCCCAAACAAAGCCTTAACCACATTGAAATCCAATTTAATCCAAACTCTACCATCTTGCTTAATTTGCAAATTATTATAATTGAGCTCAAAGTTTATGATTTTATGAGTTCTAAAAAGCGAGGGTAAAAAATCTCAGCTAGTGATTTTGGCTTCCAAAACGATTAAATGTCTAGCTTACCACAAGTACGAAGGTTGCGACATTCTTGAGTTTTCTCTTCCTCACAAATGTAAGCTCTAACATTCCAAGCAGTGATTGAGAGAAGCATATTTGGTCACCCAGATGGAAAATGTAATTGGAAGTTGCACACAAATATTAACAACATCAGCAAATGGGGGTGAGATCTTATGGGCTATTTCGCTGGCTAAAATAAGAGTGCATTGAAAAATAAACGCAATGTATTTCAAATGCTTTTGAATTATTTGAACTAATATAAAAAAAAATACAAGTGATTATTAGATTTGAAGTAAAAGGCAAAAATAAAAAATGATGATGATCAGTGATCAAAGATTCCGACAGTGGCTGCATGGCAGTGTCAACAGAAACTAGCAACTAGCAATGGCAACCAACAATGGAGAACGCTAGTGCCAGCCGGCAACAGGAGACAGGAGGTAGTGATGGCTGGTGGTGACAATTGGTCATCAATAGAGGTGGCCAACGACAGCAACAGTAGCGGCGGGTGGTCGGAGGTGATAGTCAGTGATAAGCGGTAGCAATAATGATGAGTTTATGGTATATTTGAAATCACTCAAATCTATCAAACTCCAAATACACTAGATGGTGCATTTCAAATACATCAAAATTTAACACTGCATTTATTATACGTCAAATTAAACATTAATATTCTCAAAACCATACATTTGAAATACTTCAGTCTTATTTTATTTCAAAAGCAAAAGAATCAAAGAGAAGAGTTGAGGTTAGAGAGAGCATTAAAATTGGCGTTGGGAAAATTTTTTTGCATGTCTGGTGGGAGAGGTCTGGCAGCAATACTGCCAGAAAAGATAAAAAATGAAGCGTGTCTAAGGGGAGAAGGGGTAGAGGAATAGGCCAAGAGTGCAAAAACGGCAACTTCTGTTCTTGCTTTTATAAATTCAACTCTTCTCTTTCATTTAACTTGAAGGTTGGGATTTATGCGGTAAAAATTAAACCAAAGTTAAAGATCCAGACACAGCAGATTATTGGTTTCTTTCTAATCATATAAAACTTTCAGATTCACAACCTCGCCAAACACGTCTATTGGGATTTCATCAGGTAACTTTGAAGACCTGCTAAAATGAATGCAACCCTCACAAATGTGAGTATAGATTTAACAATTATTAAGATGACAACAACCAAAAGGGCCCTAATATTGCTAAAATAAGCTGAAAAATAGCTCTCGAATTCCAATAACAAATAGGGATATTATGAAATTTAAACCAAAAAAGAGATGAAACATAATTCCTCTTAGGTAGGCAAAAAATGTGTTGCCCACTTCTAAAGAACAAATGGTCTCCATTACAAAACTAAAATCCCCCAGTCAAACCAACTCAAAATCTTCAATTCAAGTTTTTTTTTTTTTAAATTCTTTAATTTAATTATTTTTTAGGGTATCGAACTTGAGCTAACCTTAATTTTCGAAATCCTTTTGACAAAAGCCAAAAGAGTAGCATTGAGCAGTAATTTTCTAATTACATATCCAATAATAGAAAGATCCAATTTTTTGGCACCAACAGAAATTTTCTTCGAGGAGAAGATGACCTCCTATGAGCTTTCCACAAATCTAAGAAAGAAAGAAGTGGATAATGAAATCTAGGAAGAAGCAAGCCCCTTCCAATTCATACAAGGAGGAGCCACCTCATGATGAGCTGGATAAATGGGGTAGAAAGGTCTTGGTCCCAGAATAGAACAATTGTTAGTAGGGTTGGGAAGGAGAGGGGGAGAGTTCATAAAAGAGCCACATTGGCTTAAAAGAAAGATCAATTGAGCCAAAAAGTTAAGGCTTTGTGAAGAAGAAAAAGATTTAAGAGGCCAAGGATAGATTTAGTAAAGCTACCATGAAAATGCTACTTTTTAAAAGTTGTCGTAAAAATTAGCTTCTTGGCACAAAAAATTCTTGAAAGCAGTCAAAAAGTAATGACCAAACAAAAATTGATACTACATTTTGAAAAGCAAAATAATAAGAAAGCTATCCCAAACGAAGCCTAAATATTGTTCTCTATTTTTTCTACTGTGATTCCAGAGGGTTCTTTTTTCAAATAATTTAGTTTTTTTTTAAATGCAAGTTTCCTTCATGCTTTCTATTCTTTGTTTTCATATTTGTATTCTGTTTACTACACCTACAATATTTTTCCACTAAACTAGTATGTTATTTGTTTCACACACAATGACGTTAATTTAGATAATGTAAATTGTAGTTATATTATTTTATAAACTTTTGATATTTATAATTTTCATTTTCAGTGCCTATGGTTTGAGTGTTAGGCCCTCACTTAGCTGTTCATGCAGTTTTCAAGTCCTCGCTGCTAACAGATAAATGTAGCAGCAGTTGGAAAACAGAGGAGAAGAAAGTCCTAAGTTTAACGGAGTAAAAATGAGTGCTTCACTTGATGTTGCTTAAAATTTTGATTGATAGAACACGTTGAATCACGCAGCCAAGGGGAGGCCACGTCAGCAATCCGTGGCCAACAATCTGAGGGTTGCGGTTGGAGATCCATGAGCAGTAATCCGAGGCTGTAGTTGGAGATCCATGGGATATGATTATTAAAATTAATTAGATTAAATGTCTTTCATTTTCTTGTTTATTCTCCTAGAATGAATATATATGTAATGATTCCAAAGAATAGAATAGAATTTGAATTTCTCTATGTTAGAATTCATAGAATTTTAGAGGGAAAAATATGCTTCAATTATTATACAAAATTACCCCTATTTAGAGATCTATACAAGATGTCTTAATAAAGAACAAATAACTTCTAATTGATACATAATTGCCTCAATATAATCATTCCTAATTCAACTACCCAAATATAGAAGGAGATTGGCGTGATCCAGGTGAGCCTCTCACAGATTCTCATCCTGACAGTGGGATCAAGTGCTAAGGGATGACTGAAATTTTGACACTCTCTGAACAATTTCTTCATGGTATCTAGACCTGTCAATATTGGACCCGACCCGAACCCGACCGGCCAGGTGGCAGGCGGCCCAGGCCAGTTCGGCGTCGCCGGCGTCCGCAGATCCGCGTCGGCGTCCAAAGGCAATGTCGCATCCGCGGCTATGCGGGTCGGGTGGGGTTGACCCGAACCCGAAGTGGGTCGGGTTCGGGTCCAGAAAATTGACCCGTTTGCAAAATCGGGTCGGGTCAACCCGAACCCGAATAATATTGGGTCAATTTCGGGTTCGGGTCAACCCGACCCGTAACCCGAAATTGACAGGTCTAATGGTATCAGAGCCTAGGAAAATCCTAAGCCTTCTTTGAGTGTCTGTGGAAAACCTTCCTCTCTTTTCTTCCAAACCCTCAACCGACGGTAACTCTCCATCATCCTGCAATAGCCTCTCTTCAAGCACCAGTATCCCTTGCCCAAAATTCATCTTCTCTTTCAATCGAGGAAACCCAACCATGTCCATGAATAGTGAGATCTTATCATCCTATCCAAATATTACCGATTTAAACACCGAAAACTCTGGATCTACAAATAACTATTCTCCTCTTCCTAAACCATGGTGTGATCATTGTGCTAAACCAGGACATATAAATGAGACATGTTGGAAGATTCATGGAAAATCAACAAATTGGAAGGCTAAACAATCAGCACAAGAAAGCAAGGCGAACTCTATCAACACCACGCAAGATCAATCCATTGAAGTTGAAGCTATTCCTTTCACCAAGGACTAATTAAAGATGCTGAAGTTGCTGCTTAACAACATCATGAACCAACAATCTCCATAACCTACTACCAGCCTACAAGCTCACTTAGGTATAAAACAGCCAAAACTTTGGGTTATTGATTCAAGAGCATAAGATCATATGACAGGAGACATTACACTCCTTCATGGCTATCAGCCTTATCATTCAAATCAAATAGCTAAGATTACTGATGGCTCAACATCCAAAGTTTTGGGAATTGGTCTTACTTTTTTCATAAAAGCTATTACCCTTAAATCGGTGCTTTCTATTAGTAAATTGACTCGTGATAATAACTGCTTAACAATTTTCTCCAATAATGTAAGCATTTTTCAGGAACTGGATTCGGAGAAGAAGATTGACGTATGGGGGAATCTAGTGACATGGAGGAGCAAGAAACAATCTGTTGTTTCCAGAAGCAGTGCAGAATCTGAACTGAGAGCATTAGTAGTTACTATTTGTGAAGGTATTTGGATCAGACAAGTATTGATTGAACTGGAAATAAAGATTGAATGCATGATAAAGTTGAAATGCGACAATTAAGTTGCAATCACTATTGCTAAAGATCCAGTACATCATGACAGAATAAAACATGTTACTATTGATAAACACTTTATATATGAGAAAATAGAGAACTCAGAAATTATAGTATATACCCCAACTTATGAACAACTTGCCGATGTTCTAACAAAGGCACTACCAGAAACTCTACTTGATAAGTTTGTTTGCAAGTTAGGATTGTGCAACCTGTAAAACCTAACTTGAGGGGAAGTGTTGAATCACGCAGCCAAGGGGAGGTCACATCAGCAATCCATCAGCAACAATCCGACAGCTGCAATTAGAGATCCGTGAGCAACAATCTGAGGGTTGCAGTTAGAGATCCGTGGTAAGTAATCCGAGGGTTGCAGTTGGAGATCCATGGAATATGATTATTATAATAAATTTGATTAAATGTCTTTCCTTTTTTTATTTATTCTCCTATAATGTATATATATATGTAATGATCCCAAGAAATAGAATAGAATTTGAATCCCTTTAAACAATTTCTTCGTATCAGAAAAAATTAAGAAATTAGTGTCTGATATATAAATATATAAGATTTAACTATCATGCGTAAATCCACCAAACAAAAAAGTATAGCTGAACCACATTAGCCTATAGGAACCAAAAGGTCTTTTGCTTTGTAAAATACTACTGAAGAGTACTAGCAAAAACAGAAAGCTCCTTAACAGTCGTATGACAAAGATTCAAAATTAAAAAGGATATTTTTCCACCATGATCATCCATGGAAGCTAATACAAACAAATTGAGTTAACCTCACGGATCTTTCCAGTTTTCCAAGAGACAGAGTTGTATTTTGTATTAATTCTAGTTGGTCTAAATCTTATTACATATCTTCTTCCATCTAGATCAAGTGAGGTCCACCTCTTCCATTCCAAGTTCACTCTCTCCCATTGCAGGTTCTGCTGCTCTCCAATGTTACATCCTCTTACATGCCCGATACAAAAATATTTTGACCATAGTTTTCAGAACTCAATCATAATAGGATTGAATAGCAGCTAGCCATCAATAGCTCACTAGAAAAATAGCGATAAAATGGGGAAAAAAATCACGGTGAGTCTCAAAGTTGTTTGATTTGTGTTGAGACTCGTATTTAGCTATAAAATCCATTACAACTAAATTTTTTTCTCAATCAAAATGCACGACGTGGTGGGTCTGTGGTTGAGCAAGTAGAATGGGATTTCGACTCTGCAAACCATAGCATATTCAATAAGACTGTATGGCTGGCATGCAATTGGAAGAGGGAAATGAAATGGAAATGGAGATGCAAAAGAAATAAATTGCATAAAATCTTATTTAATACATATGATTTTGCGACAAATTATTGATGAGGAAATGGGGCCAGGATGGTGAGTTGGAATGAAGACAAACAAGATGGGTTATATACTTATATCTCATTTTTTTCCACATCGAATCGGTTGACATAAGTTCAGGAGAAGCATCACCATTACCAGAAATTCCTTCGTATTTTCATATTCTTTTATTACATTCTAACCAAAAGAAGAAAAACACAATTACAACATAATTTCAGCTCTTTTCCTCACCATCAAACCAAACATGGCCTGTCTGCATTTTTCGTTCCTCTTCTATTGTAATATAAAATTATGTGTCAAACTGCATTTGAAGGAAACTACGACCATGACGAAAATTACCATGCATAATTTGAATTTAGCCACCATGATAGCTTGAAGCCCTAAGTTATCAGATGTTCTGATCATAATTATAATGAAAAAAATTACCTGTATATCTGGAAGCAAAAACATTTCATAGCTTCCCAAAGTCTGACCTCCGGAGACTCAGAATGACGAGAGAGCTACAGCAAAACCAAACTATCAGTGTAAGAAAACGGTCAATGGTTAGTCAACTAAAAAACTGGAAAAGAAACAATTGAAATACCTACATACAAGCTTCACTGACAAAATTGAAGAGGTGTTGCAAAATATTGTCATGTTAATGCATACAAATTTCACAGCCAGATAAACCTAGGGATCATGAATAACTACAAACAGGAACTAAAGAATTATTTTCCTCATTGAGATGCTCATGAATGAAAGAAAAAAAAGCATAGCTAAGGATGTTTGAAAATGAAAAATGAGAGATTTTAAATTGATTGAAATTTAACAATTAAGATCAGAATGTCTGGTATACAAGGTTTCAATGACCTTAAGCAAGGAGCCAAGGAGAGAATCAGAAATAATAATAATAATAAAGCGGACCTCCTAAATATATTACATAATATGGCAAGTTCAACAAAGAGGAAGCATCCAAGCACAAGCTTAGCAAAAATCATTCTTCATTGATAGCAAGAATATCTGAGATGTAATACTGACGTCAAAATATTTATGTATTTACACTCGACAAAGTGCTTCACTCTCTAGATGCATCCCTAAGCTGATGAATTAAAAAATATGAGACGACTACTTACTGTGCGCACCAAAGCAATGAGGTGCCTTGCAGGAAAGCAAACCACAGATACACATTAACTTGCTTACGTTCTGATTAATAAAAGCTTTTTGCTTCCAAAAAAATGACAAAGCATCAAGGCATTATTTCTTCAAGGTCTTCTGGGTGGTGGTGGCCTCTGATATGCCATGTTTGGTGGCCTTATACTCATATTACCATAACCCATTGCAAGTTTGGCATAAGCTGAAGGTGTAGCATAAGGTCTAGAAGAAGACTGGGATTGAAAAAGTCTAGCTGCAATAATCTGCGTTCGCTCATTGATGAGTTTTTGTCTTGCTCTTTCGGTTTGCTCTTTTGCCCTAATGATCAAATTTTCCATCTCGGGAAAGAATGCCAACTTGATCTCCATTTTGCGCAACTGCAAGAATACAAAAAAAAAATCAGTGGTGCTATCTCTTTTGCAGCAGTTTGACATGCCAGGTAAGGTTTTGTGGTTCAAAACAATTGGCAAATAAGTCCTCGTTACGTGAAAACTGATAAGCTTCCGTTTCTGCACGTAAAAAAAAAAAAAGAATACCTGCTTCTCAATCATACATGACACTAATTGGCGGATTTGGTCCTCCTCCTGGTCAGCATGAAGCTTGGCCTTCACAGCAGCAGCTGACAACACAGTGACCGCAGCACGCTTTATGTTGTTTGCACTATGAGAACTATCAGAAGTAGTTGAAATATTTATATCAATTTTTGGTGAAGATATCTTTTTATCATCTCCACCTACAGGAAAAAGCAAGAAATAGGATCATTACCACGAAGTAAAGATTACAATATCTAGGACCTAACTATGAATTTCCTTAAATATTGCAACTAATCAAAATAATATGTAAGCAGAAGGTACCATAATGAAACTATCGTTTTTATCATAACAACAATATGTTGTGAAAAAGAGAAATTTGGTCTGGTTTATCAAGGTCTTTAAACCAATTCTATTTTTCACAAAACTAGAATACACAGAAAATTACTAACAACGTCGTGTGTTAAGGTCGTAAGTTGATTTCTTTGATTCTTTTTTTTTTTCCACCAATTTCAAAATATTAGAGAAAATCATACGACGAATAGATTTTTTATACTATACTGCCCAGAAAAAAGTACAAATAAATAAAGAGCTACATATTAATTTAGATATAGTGGATGATCAAGAGGATAGTCTATAATTACAATTTAGGTATCATATAGAGGAGATCAAAGGTATCACAATTGTTGAATTCTTGAATATTTGATCATTTGATGAAGATTGCCGGCCATGATTTTTAGATCACACCAATGAGTTTAAAGATCAAGTCAAGAAGAGTCCATAGCTGAAGACTTCATCAATTAGGCATTTGATAAACTTAGGATACAAGAAATACCATCCATTGGATGATGAATTTTGATTCTTAAATTTATTATGGATAATTCAAATTTTGAATTTTAAATTCCACATAAAACTTCCTTTATAAAATTAGTTTAGATTGTATAGAGTTATTCCTTTTTCCTTTATAAAATTAGTTTAGATTGTATAGAGTTATTCCTTTGTATGAAGTTAGTTTAGGAACTGTAAGATTCCTCCCTCCTAAATTTTGTAGTTCAGAAAAAAAATTAAATTAAAATAATTTCCTGTTGTTATTTGCTTATTTATTAAAGGTATGATTTCTATAATAAGAATACAATTCCACTCTTTCTTCTGTCTCTCCCATAGTAATTCTCAAACCCCAACTGATAAAATATGCCTCTTTCATATCATACGCATAAACCAAGCCTATACCATGGCAATTCCATAAAATAAAAATATTAAGGCATAAGAAAGAAGGCCTGATAACTATTTGAGAACTGTTATTATTTCTCAAAAAGAAGGAAGAAAAAAGGACTAGTGATGTTCCTTTATCTTGTAAAACGAATGTCTTTGAGAAGTATTGTGATCAATGCCAATTAACTCATCACTTAAAAAAATGTGACAAATTGCACCCAACTTTCCCTAAATAAGGAAATATGAGAAAGAAAAAAACCACCACTATTAAGGCGGACAACATGTCGAGTCCAGTGAAAAGGGCGAACCTATCTCTATCTCTAATGCAATGTCCAAGGAGAGCAGCGGGGTCTTTCTCTAATAAGAACACAAGAAAGGAGTTGTTCCTCCTGAGGATACAAATCAAACCAAAGGTGCTCATAATCATCATCGACATCAACACAAGAAAAGCCTCATTCTGCCAATATGGTGCAAAAATTAGGATTAAACATCTTAACCTTTGGTGGTGAGATTCAGAAGGTGACAAAGATGAAGATTGATCACTAGTGTCTATTGAATTTTGCATCACCGAGAATTACATTGATGAGATGATAATGCAAGGTGATTTCACTTTACATCTACTGGCTTCGCCGGAGAACTTTGGAGAGTTGTTCTTCCTCTCGAATTGAAGAACAAACTGTATCTTTGCTATTTTTATTATCTACTAGTAAAATACAAGTGTTTTCTCCTCATCTCCTGCAGTTTTCCTCTCTTTTTCTACTGTTTTTGGCCAATTTCCTGCTGTGGACAGCAGTTCGCTTTGAGATTTGTTGCTAAAGTGATTAGGGAATATTTGAAATCAAGTATTTCCTATCAATTTCACTTTACATCTACTAAATCATCTTAAACAGCTCATATATTCATGATAAGTATGTGAGATACTATTGTCGACCTTATCAGTGTGCTCGCAAAGGACCTTTCTGCTAAAAAAAACTACCACATGCTAATAGCGAACGTAATAACAAGGCAAGCAAGCAGGCTTACAAATGTAGGTTGAAACTTTATGTTGATGTTGGAACGTTTTGTTGAAGAAGAAAAAAGAAGGCTCCCTTGGATAAGGAAGGTGACAAGTAGAAGTAGACCTAAAAAAGGAGTATATATCACCCTTTAAGGAGTGTACAAAGAAAATCACTAAAGAGGTTCACCGAAGAAGACATATCCTGTCTCCAACACAACACTTTCAAACCTACCGATGTACCAAAACTTACACCGCAAAATTAACACCACTAAAGTGAAGCTTATGGAAAAGTGATTAAGTCCGCTATAACGACAAAACAGTGTAGCTTCGGCTGCTCAAAGACATCCAAAAAGAAGAAATGCATTTCTTCCAAATGGACAATGAGGTAAGAGTTTTCACAAGTGAAGAAGTCTCCATTATTGAAGTAGCTTAAATAGTCACTCTCTTACCAATTCAAGAAATTATAAAAAAGGAAAAAAAAAACAAAATATTCTCCCAACTATTCATATGTAGCCAATTTAGTATCAAATTAGTAAATTTCTTCAATGTAATCCTTCGATTATACAAAATTGATCCCAAATTATCCCTAAATGAGTAAATTAAAATTAATTTTGTGCAGTAGAGAGACTAAATTGGGATCAATCATGTATCTCAATTTCCATCAATTTCTACCAAATAAATCATTTGGGATCAATGCATAGTCAAGGATCTATATTAGAGAAATGTGATACTCTAAAACTAAATTGACCACATACAAAAATTATTGAGGGACTTTTTTTGGGCCTTTTCCCAATTAAGAAAATAAAAGTTAGCACCAAATCAGTTTTGCATGCTCAAAAGTGCAGATAGTACTATAAAACCAAATCAAACCAAACAATATAACCAAGGTATGACTTTTGATATTAGAAAGAGCAAATAGGAACACAAGAGAGCCATTCCTCTAGATAAAATGCTACCTAAGCTCCATGTTCCAAAAGCTCCATATTCCAAAAGGTTCTAAAAATTCAAGATAAAAAAAATTATAATAAAACTTATAACTCCTTGAAAGATCAATTGCCAAGCATATCAAAATAGTATAACTGCAAGGCTAAAAAATTAGTCTTCCCTTACCTAAAGTTATGCTTGCATGGTAATGAAATTCTCTTAAAAGGGGGCCCTGTGATCCGAGAAATCATATATAATAAATAATTGCTATGATCATGATTCCGGAATCAGATGTCTATGATCACAATTTAGGCATCATATTGTCGAAAGATCCAAGGGATCATGATTGTTGAAATTTTGATAGTCCAATCCCTTAATGAAGATTGTCAATGTTTTTTATTTTCATACATGCAGTAGAAACTAAAGACCAGGTCAACTAGAATTCATAGATGAAGATAACTTAACGAATAGATGTAAAACAACAAGGATAGAGCGGTCTAAAATGTGGGACGTTGGATGCCAATAAGAACAACCAATAATTTAGAATTCTAAACTTATTTTGTATAAGTTTGTATTTTGAATTTTATATTCTAGATAAGATTTATTGCATATGTGGAGTTAATTTAAGACAAAGTTGTTCCAACTTTTATGGTGTTAGCTTAGAATTGATAATATTATTCTTTATAAAGTTAGTTTAGGAAGGAAAAAATTATTCCTAAATTGTGGAGTTACTTTAGGAGAAAATAAGATCAAATTCAAATAATTTCATGCTGCAGTTTACACATTTAAAGGTATGAATCTGATAGGAAATACTTGAGTTTGCAAGTAACCCTAGCGGGAAATACTTGAGTTCGCAAGCAACCCTAACAAGAATTGGAGAAAACAGCGAGAAAACATCAAGATCTCCAATGAAACAGTCCAAAAACAGTAGATTATATTATAGGAATAAAACCAAAGGCAAGAACAAGCAAATATACAATTGATCCTCAATTCGAGAGGAGGATCGTTCTCTTCCAATCTCTTTACGATGAATCTAGAGCCCAAAGCCACCAAGAGAATTCCAAGAGAAAACAATAATCATGCATGCCCTAACCCTAACCTCTCATCTTCTTTAAATACACATCTTCATAATAAAAAGCTTCCTAAAATAAACCAAATTCAAATTAACCTCCAAGGCTTTAGCTGCCCCCTTCCCTCACTCTAATTGCCGTCCAAGGGGGGCCCACATGTTTGGGCGGAAGGCTTTAAGGAGGTGGCTTGGGCCGCCTCCTATGGAACTGAACCGGCCACCACCTGGGCCGGTTTGGTCAGTTCACCCTGAACCATAACAGAATCATGCAATAAGAATTCAATTCCAACCCTCCCAATCCCTCTTCCTCTCCCTTATTTACCGAACCCATCTAGAGACCAAACAGCCATCCTATCTCCGCTGCTGCCATCTGGGGGCTTCTCCCTGGCACCAACTCCTGTAGTTCAGCAACCACTGTCCAAGCCCCCATCACCCAGTAACTGATTCTGCCACCTCTTTTGCCGCAAACATATGCTGTCTGATTTGCAACAGGAAAGAAAATAATTTGTTTTTGCTGCATCTCAGCAATCCAGATTCAAAACAGCAAGTGCAACTTGCTAACCACTCATAAATCATCTTTTGTTAACAGTTTACAGCATACCAGAGTTCAGAAACAGCAAGAAAGTTGCTGTACAATGAAGGAAGACAAAAAAACAGGGATAAAGCATGCTGTCCACAGAAAGTAAGAAGTAAAAACATAAAGGAGTCATCAACAGCTTTAAACAGCACTCAAGTTACTTTTAATTGATTGATAAAACATTAGGGAACCTCCTGAAAAATTCTAACTCTTCTACTCTCTAAATTGAGGGCTTTGGTCCTATTTAAAGACTAAGTTGGGATCATCCAACCAACACAATTAATGATTAGAGATAAATAGTGGATGGTAGGATATTTCAGAACAATATCAGTTGATTATGGCCATCATCTTCAGTAGTATTATGACGGTAGATTCAAATAACAAAAGAGAAGAACAATAGAAGTTGCACGTTTCTTTAATAGAACTGTGAAAGACAAAATAGATCACAAAAAGAATTTATTTGCTAGCCATAAAGAACATTTCTAGATGCTCGATCAAAATATAGAAAGCTTTCACAAGAGGTTAACAACGAGTAATCGAGTTAATGAAGAAAAATGAATTTTGAGCTACAATAAAACTCAGAAAAGCAACAACAACAACAACAACATCAAGCCTTAGTCCCACTACGTGGAGTCGGCTACATGAATACTTTTTCTCCATTGTGTCCTGTTAAAAGTCAAATTCTCGTTTAAATCTAATAAAGAAAGATCATTTATAATATTTTCTAACCAAGCCTCTTTAAGTCTACCTCTACTTTTCTTAACATAAGTCAAATCTAATACCTCAACATTCCTAACCAGGTCATCGGAAGACTGCCGTTTTATGTGACCAAACCATCTAAGGTGACTCTCTCTAATCTTATCTTCCACTGGCGGCCTCTTATTAATGACTTGATCGTCCAAAGTCACAATCCCCTCACTAGGTCTATTACTACTAAAATTACACTCCATATATTAAGTTTTAGATATACTCAAGTGAAAACCTTTAGACTCTAAGGTTGGCCTCCATAATTCAAGTGTACCTTCAACTCCGTCTCTAGTCTTATCAACAAGAAGAATATCATCAGCAAAACGCATAC